CTATAGACTAGACTATAGACTAGACTATAGACTAGACTATAGACTAGACTATAGACTAGCCTATAGACTAGACTATAGACTAGACTATAGACTAGACTATAGACTAGACTATAGACTAGACTATAGACTAGACTATATACTAGACTATAGACTAGACTATAGACTAGACTATAGACTAGACTATAGACTAGACTATAGACTAGACTAGACTATAGACTAGACTTAGACTAGACTTAGACTAGACTTAGACTAGACTATAGACTAGACTATAGACTAGACTATAGACTAGACTATAGACTAGACTATAGACTAGACTATAGACTAGACTATAGACTAGACTATAGACTAGACTATAGACTAGACTATAGACTAGACTATAGACTAGACTATAGACTAGACTATAGACTAGACTATAGACTAGACTATAGACTAGACTATAGACTAGACTATAGACTAGACTATAGACTAGACTATAGACTAGACTATAGACTAGACTATAGACTAGACTATAGACTAGACTATAGACTAGACTATAGACTAGACTATAGACTAGACTATAGACTAGACTATAGACTAGACTATAGACTAGACTATAGACTAGACTATAGACTAGACTATAGACTAGACTATAGACTAGACTATAGACTAGACTATAGACTAGACTATAGACTAGACTATAGACTAGACTATAGACTAGACTATAGACTAGACTATAGACTAGACTATAGACTAGACTATAGACTAGACTATAGACTAGACTATAGACTAGACTATAGACTAGACTATAGACTAGACTATAGACTAGACTATAGACTAGACTATAGACTAGACTATAGACTAGACTATAGACTAGACTATAGACTAGACTATAGACTATACTATAGACTAGACTATAGACTAGACTATAGACTAGACTGTAGACTAGACTATAGACTAGCCTATAGACTAGCCTATAGACTAAACTATAGACTAGACTATAGACTAGACTATAGACTAGACTATAGACTAGACTATAGACTAGACTATAGACTAGACTATAGACTAGACTATAGACTAGACTATAGACTAGACTATACTATAGACTAGACTATAGACTAGACTATAGACTAGACTATAGACTAGACTAGACTTAGATTAGACTATAGACTAGACTTAGACTAGACTATAGTTGTTTATATACTAGACTATAAAAAGTACTGAATTTTCCATGCCTGATTTGGATTATTATTTACATACTACACCAGCACAAACGCATAATACCCTTCCTAAGCGTTGTGCTGATATTTGTAAAACTCAGTATAAATTTCTGATAAAGTTGTTTATGATCAGACGTATTGTCTCTCTTCCATGCGCTGGCCCTCATATAAGCACCTGTAGGTATATTAATGATAAATGAGAAAATCGTTATACTAAATTCTATACAAATCTATAATTACCATTTCGAACTTAAAAAAGTCAAATTAAAAGTAAGAAATTCTTGGAATAGCTGTATATATGTTCATATTAATTCAACCGGCTTAGCTATGTTGGAGGATAGGACAAATAATAGAGATAATTCAAACTTTAATCCAAAATATCTGGCTATCATAAATTTATTAGTTATTAATTTTTTTAATTTATTGGCCATAATACTTTAAACTTTGATAAACTTTTTAAATACATTTATAATATCATTATATACATACATACATATTTAACATAAAGCTGTAAATACATACTTACATACATATATTCACAGTTTTAATATTCAAACATTTTCAATTCTAATAATAACTTAAAATTTCAATCACAAATATAAAATATATACACATACATACATATAAAGCATACTACATATTTACTTACTTAATTCTTAATTCACTTACATACTTTCATAAAAATATTATTAAATTATTAATTTTACTTAATAATACTTTTTCATTTAAAAAGTGAATGAGTTTTTCAATGTTTCATTATTTTTGCTTTAAAATTTGCCTTCATATACATATGTATGTACATATCGCTCATTTACTACAAAATTGTCATAATCCGAAACACGTAAGGAAGTATAGTCGGGCGTGGCCGACCATATGATACCCTACACCAGTTATGAATATTAAATGTGATTTATTTTTCATAATAAAGCATTTATCTTCAATATTCCCTTGTTCCGATACATTTAAGCAATTTATGGATGAAAAACTAATTTTCTGAAAGAGGCTTTATATGGGGGCTAGGGGCAAATATGGACCAAGCCCGGTAAAATTTTTTCAATATATTTATATTTACATAATATTTTATTGTGCTGAATTTCATCGCGATATTTGTGTTTATAAGTTAATTTGGGACATTCAAGTAATTTTCCGAAGGGGACTTTGTATGGGAGCTAGAGTCAAATGGAGCCCGATCTTTATGAAATTTGGCAGGGTCATCAAGACTTCAATAAAAATTAGTTGTGCCGTATTTTATCGATATATCTGTATATTTAGCATAATTATTAGCTCAGAAGCCCTTTTCGGGTTCTGTTCTATGGGGGCTAGGTGAAATAATGGACCGATTTTAACCATTTTCAATAAGCTTCGTCCTTGGGCCAAATCAAACGTGCGTGCCAAATTTCATCCAATTATCTTGAAAATTGCGACCTGTACCTTGCGCACAAGGTTTACATGGACAGCCAGCCAGCCAGCCAGCCAGCCAGACGGACGGACGGACATAGCTTAATCGACTCAGAAAACGATTCTAAGCCGATTGGTATACTTTAAGGTGGGTCTAGGACGAATATTTTTGTATGTTACAAACATCAGCACAAATCCAATATACCCTACCTGTACTATAGTACAATTTTTGGGCACAAAAATGTTGGATTTACACGCACCATAAAGTAAAAGTCCGTCTTGTGTCCATGTAAAACTTGTTTATTATTTTATTTAGAGTCATCCCATATTCAACCGTATCTTGATATAAATAATAAACATTATAGATAGGGAAGTCCATTCAGTTATGTCTAGATATATTCTATTAGAGTCAAAATTTAACCAAAATTCCAAAAATAATCCGGGATTTTTCAGAATTTCAAATATATATATCAAATGTTGTTTCTATATGAGAGTTTCTATATGAGAAGTTGAGTTATCCAAGAAATATCGATTTTGCTCTGATGGGTCTTATTTTGTTTATAGGTGACAAAAACATACTTACGTTAAATCATAGTCCGATTAGCTTCAAATGTCACACAAGTATTACCCATCTGAGGAAAGTCGATATTTTTTGACACCTCTAAAGTACATATTCAATATGTAAGTATATTATAAGAATGACATTCGAAAGAACTTTCATCTGATATACATTTTGTCTAGAAAAAGAATAATGTATTCGATGTACTTACTTAGGGTGTTCCTTCGTCATCTTTTTGTAGGAATACCTCTCAATCGAAGCGTATTATTGTACTAAATACGAGAAAATCGAGGGACCAGCTATTGAAAATCTCAGTATAATATTAAAACAAAATTCTGCAATACTTTCAAAACGGTTATCAAAAATTCCGTAAATTTAAGCTTACTTCGCGAAATATAATTAACATTTTTTCTAAAGTATTTCATTTATAGATTTTTTTTAATATTTTTAGTTCTAAGAACTACCGATAACTAATTTAAAATTTTCCGGTTTTTTTTATACCTTGATCCTGACATCTGGACTCCGGGATTTATTTAAAATACACAATTCCGGGATTTTTATAAATCTATCCCAATTAACGTCCCTAATTCTCTAATATATGTATATACACATACATATTAGGAACATGTCTTCAATTTAGTTAAAAATAGTTCCGTCGGCTAAAGCGCATATAGCTTGCATTAAAAAGCAATCTATCAGTTACTGAAATAAAAACGAAGGGTTGTTTTATTATTTATATATTGTTTGTATTTGGACCTATTTTCATGATTCTCTATACCAGTTATGAGTATAAAATGTGATTTATTTTTCGTAATAAGCAATAGTGGTGAATACCTTTAAACAATTTATTGACGAAAAACTATTTTTCTGAAACAGCGTAGTTGCCAAATTTTACCAAACATTGAAAATTACGACCTGCGCACAAGCTTTACTCGTATATCTAGACGGCCGGACTTGGCTTAATCGAATCATATTCAAATAATTCTAAGATCAAACATCAGTACAAACGCATAATAAGTACCTCCCTATATGCCAAATATCCCATAATTATCTACGAAATTGCGACCTGTACCTTACGCAAAAGTTTTACTTATATGGACAGTTAGCCAGACGGGCTGACATGTTTAATCGACTCAGAGTATATAAGACGATTGGTATACTACTTTAAGGCGGGTATGGGATCAATACTTTTGTGTGTTACAAACATCAGCATAAATGCATAATACCTTCCTCGTTATAGTGGTGTAGAGTATAAAAATCAAGTACATTTAAAATATGATTAGGCATTCTTATTTTATTACAATTTTTGAAAAAAAAATTATGGTCAATAGTCTAGGTTTATTTGGAAATACATTAAATTAAAAATATATTTTATTTGTTAATCGAACTCAAAAACCAAAGACTATGTTCATCGATTTTATTTTCATGCTTTAGAATATTGAAAAACTAATTCCTTGAAATATTTATTCCGGGTATTGATGCATTTTTGGTCGTGTTTTTTCTAAAAAAAATCTCATGTTTATTTGCTTTTATTTAATTAAATCCTCAAACACATTTTATTTAAATATTTCATTTAATTTTTTATTGTTTGAGTAATTTATGTTCTATTTAATGCTTTAGTTTTAATCTAGAAAATATATTATTGTCTTTTGTTTACATGAAAATGGAAATAAAATTATATATAAATAAAAATTTGAATTGCTAATAATTGAGACAAGTAGTGATTTTAATTTCTTAATTAGAATAAAAACTTATTTCGTTTTTACTAATGAAGAAATTTGATTTAGAAAACTATAACAAAATAGATTTGCATAATTAATGATGAATTAAATGTTCCCTTTTGTTAGGAGGTCCTTCAAGGGCTCAATGGGAGGATGTTACCGGATCTACACCACTGACATTCGTCAATGACTGCGTTTCATTTACTACCACCGTTTCGGCACGATTTTGGCTTATGGATTGTCGTAATATTAGTGAAGCTACAAAAATGGCCACTGAATTATACAAGTATGTATTTTACTTGAGATTTTAATAAATTGAAATATGATTCTATTTTGTTTCTCTTCTTATAGGGAAGTGATTCATGTTCCATTTATTGCAAAATTCGTGGTGTTTGCGAAAAAGGTTGAACCATTTGAAGCCCGCCTACGCGTATTTTGTATGACAGATGATCGAGAGGATAAAACTCTTGAGAAAATGGAACTTTACACACAAGTTGCTAAGAGCCGAGATGTGGAAGTACTTGAGGGCAAACCTCAGTACATAGAAATGGCGGGTAACTTAGTGCCTGTAACAAAATCGGGCGAACAATTACAACTGCCATTTAAAGCATTTCGAGAAAATCGGCTCCCGTTCACTGTAAGAGTTAAGGATCAACATGCTGATATAGTTGGTCGTACACTATTCATGAAAGAGCCAAAAGTCGCCAAAGGAGAACCGCCACAGCATCCAATTTGCATACTTAACATTGTTTTGCCGGAAGCTGTAATACCTGATTCCGTAACTGCCTTCTCAGATAAAATCACACCCACGTATCGTAGTTCGTTGTTAAGCTTTAGCAAACATCAGAACGACCATTATATTGGTGATATCCGCATTGTCGATCTATCAAACCTTCTCGGTAAAGATTGGATTCAACTGGCCTCAGAAATCGATATCAGCACAGAGGAAGTCGATGAAATTATTAATCAGAATACGGACAGTATAGCCCGACAAGCCCAAAGTATGATCAGGTTATATAAGGATAAGCCCAACTATGACATACACTCGTTAGAACAAGCTCTTAAAAACATCGGACGCGATGACATTATGAATAAGTGTAAGAGTGGAAGACTCTCACATTCTCGTGACTTTGATGAGACTGACATTATGAAGAACTCCGAGTCTGTCGAAGAGCTGGTCCGACAAGAAAGTAAGTATATACTACCAAACATATATCTTTTAGTTCAAATTTTAACGAGGTGTTTTTTTATAGGCAAACGGATACAGCAAATTCATGAACGTGAAGAAATCAAGTATTCAGCCGAAGAAAAGGAGATTGAAGAGTCAGAGTCTGATGAAGAGATTGCTAAACGGACAGTAGCAGAACGTAGAGATAAAATTGTGAAACGACTTTCGGTTGAACGTCAAATACCTGCATCGTCCCAGAAAAAGGAAATAACCCGCGAAATAACAGAGATCAAGCGCAAGAGTCTCATCGAAGACAAGAAAGCAATTCATGAATCTGAGATTTTCATGCAATTACCCGCTGACAACAGCGTCAAGTCGGCAGTTGTGCCTGAACAAGTGATTAAAATGAAAATGGGAAAAATAGACTCAACAGAAGTGAGCAAAAGTGATTTTGACAAAGAGTTGACACACAAATTCAAGTCCTCCAGTCGTAGTTCGGAAGAAGAACCTGAGGTGGAAGACACCTCAAGCGCCCGCCAGTTAGGTCACGAAGAAGTTGACAACCTAAAGATTGTCAAGGACATAACAAGTGTGGAAAAACCAAGCAAAATAATTGATTCACTAATAGGCGAAAAACCATCGATGGAATCCGGATCTAAGCAATTGACGGAAGACTTTTTGGCTTTTGAGAAATTAACACAACTACCGTCCCAAGTACTGTCTACTACTACTATTACTACTACTACCGATATAACCGAGAAATTTGTTGAGGAAGTTAAAGAAAAATCAGATGAAGGAAAAATAGATGATGAAATAAAAGAGACGGCTGCAGAAGTTGTCACAGAAACTATGGAAACTGCAAGCAAAAAAGTTGAGAGTATTATTTCATCATTCGAGTCCTCGAAACCAGAAAAGCAACCCTCAACCAAAGAGACACTTAAGGGCGTTCAAGATTTTATAACTGCAGAAAGAAAATCATTTGTGGATTCTGCAAAGACATTCACTAAAGAAGAAGAAACAAAAGTAGAAGAATCTATTGTTGAAACTAAAGAATCAATTATTAGCGAAACAATCAGCGTAAAGGATAAAATTAAAGCTTTTACTGAAACTAAATTAGACGACATTTCAGATAAAATTGCCAGCACCAAAGATTCTTTTAAAAAAGAAAGCACTAAAGTTGAGGAATCCTTAAAATCATTTGAGGAATCCCAAACAGATGCTATAGAAAGTGAAACAACTAAACTCACAGAGGAAATTTCAAGTGAAATAAAGAGCGTATCTGATGCAATAAAAACATTTTCGGAAACCCAAGTAAAAGAATTGAAATCCGAAACAGCCAAAATTGATAAGAATATTTTGCAGACTAAAGATTCTATTGCAACAGCAACAGAAAGTACTGCTGATAAAATCGTATCATTTGTCGATACTAAAACAAATGAACTCCAAACGGAAACTGCTGCCTTACAAAGTCTAATAACGGACACTAAAGATACTAAAATTAGTGAAACCATTAATATACTTCAAACAACTAAAGATTTTATTTCATCAGAAACAAAAAATATCACCGAAGCATTTAAATCGAAAATTGACGAAGTTAAGAAGGAAACTGAAGAAACTAAAGAACATGTTATAGACAAAAAAGACTCACTTATTTCCGAATCAAAGAGTGTTGCCGAAACAATTAAAGCCTTTAATGAACCAAAAATTGAAGACGTAAAAATTGCAAAAGAATCCATTGTAAAAGAGACAAAGTCTTTGTTCGATAAAAGCACAGAAGAATTTAAAGAACAACTTTCCGAAGCAAAGGAAACAGTTATATCCGAAACCCAAAGCGTATCTGAAACAATAAAAGCTTTCGCCGAACCTAAACTGGAGGACATCAAAAAAGAAACATCAAAGGTTGAAACCAAAGTTGAATTTGCAAAAGATTCTATTGATAAGCAATTTAAGGAGCAAGTTCACGAAACAAAGGATACTATTATTACAGAAACCAAGAGTGTGGCTGAGACAATTAAAGTTTTTGCAGAACCAAAAGCTGATGATATCAAAAAGGAAGCTTCAAAGATCGAATCTAAACTTGAGGAAACTAAAACGTTCTATGACAAAAGTTCTGAAGAATTTAAAGAACACGTTGCCGATATGAAAGACGGAATTGTAACAGAAACGAAGAGTGTAACTGAAACAATCAAAGCTTTCACTGAACCCAAATTGGACGACTTCAAAAAAGAAACTGCGAAATTAGAAACGGAGATGACATCAACAAAGGATTCAATAGTTAAAGAAACAAAATCCTTATTTGATACAAAAACTGATGAATTCAAGAAACATGTTGAGGAAAAAAAAGACTCATTCGTCACAGAAACTAAGAGTGTTGCAGAAACAATTAAAACGTTCTCAGAACCCAAAATAGAAGACATCAAAAAGACAACTTCGGAACTAGACAGTAAAGTTGATTTAGCAAAAGAATCGATCGTCCAACAAACTGAATCTTACTATGATACAAAATCAGAGGAAATAAAGGAATATGTTTCCGATAAAAAAGATTCAATTATTACAGAAACAAAAACTGTTGCTGAAACTATTAAAGCTTTTACAGAACCCAAAATTGATGACATTAAAAAAGAACCCTCAAAAGTAGAAACTAAAGTAGGATTTGCAAAAGACTCTATTGTCGAAGAAACAAGAACACAATTTGATAAGAAATCTGATGAAGTGGAGCATTTAATATCAGACACCAAAGAGACTCTTGTCAGAGAGACCAAGAGTGTAACTGAAACCATTAAAGCTTTTACTGAACCCAAAATTGAGGATATTAAAAAAGATACTTCAAAAGTAGAAACCAAAGTAAGTGAAACTTTTATTGCCGCAACCAAAATTGCGGGAGATACTATCGAAACAAAAACGCAAGATTTTAAATTGGGTTTTGAAGAAATGAAAGACAAGTTGTCAGACACTGAGGATTTCATAATTACTGAAACCAAAACTGTTGCAGAAACAATAAAATCTTTTTCAGAACCAAAAGTAACGACCTCAAAGATTGAAGAGAAATTTGACGATTTCATTGACTCCACTAAAAAGGAGAGCAAGAAGGTTTCGGAAACAATAAAATCTCTTTCTGAATCATTTGATAAATCTAGTGCTGAACTGAAATTTGAAAAGGAGAAAATCATACCATCTGATAAAATCGAAGACAAAATAGCTGATTTCGAAGCGAAAAAAGTTACTTATGAATACCATGGCTTGGAGCCAAAATTAAGGGTTGGCCTACCAACAACAACCAAAGCAGAGGATGAAAAGGAAACTATTGTTTCTGCTCCCGAAGCTGCACCGAGAAAAATCACTACCACTACAGAAGAAACTACATTCGAAGAATCTCTAGAAAAATTAGAAGAAATGAAATCAATTGTAGCCGATGCTCGAAAAATTACTAAGGACTTTTTAAGTATGGAACAACAGTCTCAACTACCACTACAAACTAAAGTGGAGATGAAAGAAGAATCGAGACTTATAGAGGAGACAATTAAAACTACAATAACATTCCCACCAATTGTCGAGAAAACTGTAACCGAGACAGTGACCAAAAAAATTGAAGAGCAGGTTGAGTCTAAACCGGAAACTAAAACTGTTTCTTATGAAAGTGCATTAAAGGAAACTGTCGAACCATCAGTGCAAGAAACGGTATTGGATTCAAGAAAACTCACTCATGATTTCCTAAGTATGGAACAAAAATCTCAACTCCCTTGTGAAAAGCAGACTGCTGATGATATCTCAGAATTGTCAACTGAATCTTCACAGCACTCTGTTGAAAAATCTCCCATTATCGAAACCGATTCTGAGAAAATATCACTTGAGCACTTTGAAAAAGCCGACATTGATGCCAGAAAAATTACTCATGATTTTCTGAGCATGGAACAAAAGCAACAACCCTTCTCTCCTCCTAAGGCTAAACCACATGACGAATTAGAGCAAACAAAACCATCATCTATTATCGATGAAGTCCTTATAAAAGCTACCGATATAATGACAACAATTTCAGCAGGCGCTGAAATACCCAAAGAAGCCATACCATCACCAAAAGAGGAAAAAATCGAAAAAGAGGATTCAAAATCTGTTTTAAAATCTGAACAACTCAAAGACGATGGCATCGAGATGGCCGCCCCCATTAAAGATGCTCAAGAAATGCCTGCTTCAGTGGTAAAAACATTAACTCAAGATTTTCTTACCTTTGAGCAATCCGTACCCATGTATACAACACCTAAAACATCAACTGAAGAACCAAAAACATCTACTGATCGTCCGGAGGATACCTTCGTGCCAACAACATCAGATCTTACAGATTTCACTCATCAACGTGTTATCAAAATGACTGGTGATTTTCTTTCCATGGAGCAAACTACCCACAAACCTCAAAAAGATACAAGTGTCAAACCAACCGACGAATTGATGGCACCAATTCCAATTGAGCCACGTAAATCATTAACAGATGCAGAATTTTGCAAATCAGTACAGGAATCTATAACTAAGAAAATGAGCGAGGGACTAATTGAAATTAGTGACGAGCTTAAAATAAAAGGTATGTTATAATCTATATTTACATCAGAATGAACCTTTACCCTGTATTCATGGTTCTAAATTGTCTAAACAAATAATGATGCTAGAATAAAATAAACGAAAAATATCAGAAAATATTGCCATACATCTACTTATAATAAGAATTCCGTATCGTAAATAAATGCAATATTCGTCTTAATTTTTTAATACATGATAGGTGTTAATATCTTTTAGCAAATTTGGATTCCTCATGATTTGATGCGAATGTATGTTGCATTTACTATATATTTATGTTTTAAAATTTCTTTTCAGAAAGCGATATTCCACACTCGCAAACACCTCCACCAACACCAATCGAGACTAAAATTGAAAAAGAAGAGGAAGAAGTAATACATCAGAAACCCACAATGGACGAAGGTAATAATTTATTGTTAAGACAGACCGTCAAATTTTTAATTCAGTTTTCTAAAGGACTGATATTCGATATATCATTACCTAAAACTTTAAACAGTCATAAATTGATAAAAATATAGTTTTTTAATATATGGGGTTATTTCATGTTAAGTGACTCAACTTTTGAAACCGATGTCTTCCGATTGAAAAAAAACGGTAGACAAAAACTTTATCTGGCAATATCCTAGCAAATGCCAGATATTTGTAAACAATTCAAAAAGTATTTTTGTAGAATTGACAAATTGTATTTCGAAATTTGGACCAATGATAGTCCCATTGGATAGTAGTTAGTTTAGACACAATTTTTCAACAAGATTTTTTTCAAACTAAATGTTAAGATATCTAGAAGATGGAAGATAACATAGATAACCCTTTCAGATGGGACCATATTCTGATTCGGGGTAGCTCAATCATTTAGAAAGTATATGATTCCAGTTTTTCAACGTTTTTCAAATTGTGTTATTGTTGTAAGGTTTAATCGTGTAAATTTTTTTTAAATTTATTTCCAGATAATGTGATTGATACCATAAAAACATTGCACAAAACCACAGAGTCCACATTTGAACGTGTCTCTACCATTTCAACTATAGGTAAGTCGCAAATATTTTTAATATGAGTTTTTTGGAATAATAATATCAATCGATAAACCTTAACTATTATTAAAACCATTAACCTTTTTATGTTTGCCACATTTTTTGTTACAAAATAACATCAAAATTTAAAACGAAAAAAGCAAAATCGTTTGAAAAACAAAAGTAAAAAAATATCACTTTATTATTTTTCTTTGGCTAAATGTAGATTGTAAAACCAACATGTTTTTAGTTTTCCTTAATATTTTTCTTTTACGTTTCATTTAATTTTTCTTTATTTTCCTTTTAATAAACAAAAATATTTATTTTAATGTAATGTCCAAAGGCTTTTTTGTGTGTGTATTGCAAAAATCCATAGTATCATTAAAAATCGTGTTAATCGTATCAATGACAAATGTCAAATCATATTTAGTTGAAAATCAATTCTTATCAAATCAATATTAATTATAACGATAAATAAAAATATGAAAATTGTGTATATCTTAATAAAATTTTAAGGAAATATTCTTGTACGATAAAATCAAAATTTTATTTATATTAAGTTTTTAAAATCTTAAGAAATACCAAGAAATATTGAATGAATTAGTGGTTGGCAGTGGTTTAAATACGAGTATTTTCTATATTTATTTAATTATATTTTTGTTTTTGGTTTTCCTCGAAATTGTTAAATCGGATTTATCGGAAATCAGTTCAAATGTCGTTACGCCATTATAAACAGGTTTATGTGTATGTACTTACGATAAAGTTCAAGTGTAATTAAATCTTAATTTGTAAAATACCTACTATGTCTGGATATCGACAGTTATTAGGGTGGTTCCATTTGTATACAGCTGACAAAATTATCTGTTTCCAACTTAAATTAGTTTGACTTCATTTAATGTATAAATTTTGTATTATAGCAAATAAGAAAGCATCGTTGTATATGGCCGACCATGTAATACCCTACACCAGTTGTGATAATATAATAAAATATTTTCAAAATTTGTTGATAAATAACTGGGTTAAATATAGGGCTATAGAAAATATTGCGGCACGATTTAAGTTCATACATATATATAAATTATATGTATATGTAGCTGATTGAGACGGATGAACATAGCTAGATCGCCTTAGAATCTAATAAGGGCCAAGAATATATATTTTATATTCGAATTATCATCACCGATCTCAATCTAAAATAAAAGTGTAAATAAAAATTTTAAAAAATCAAATAAATTTTGAGAAAAATTTCCTTAAAGCATTTGATATATTGATTGAATCTATATCAGCTTTGAACAAAATTTCTTCATAAAAATGGGACCACCTTAATGATGTTACAAACATACTCAGAACTACATACATACATACATAACTATCAATGTCAGGGACAAACTAGGATAAGGTAAATAAACAAAAAAAAAAAAAACGCGTTAACTTTGTTTGAATGTATTTTATTCGATTTTCTGAGGTTTCTCACTATTGATTTATTTAGTGTTTTTTTCTTTTTTTTAATAAGTAACAATTAAATTTAAGACTTGTTAAAAAGAATAAAAGAACTTAAATATTTGAATGTGATTTTAATGCTTAGTCTGACGCTAATGCCCGGATTAGTCGAAACATACTATTGTAACGTGACAATTCTATTTCAATCGATTCTTGGAAAATTTACTAAAAATTATAGTTCAGATCTTATAACAATTTAAATATTATGGAAATAGCCCGTTATTATATTAAACTTGTTCAATAATTCTTAAAATTTTTGTAAATGTTCGATTAAAATTCATTTAGATTAAATTGTTGAATTTATAACTTTTTAATGAAAAGTTAAAAAGTACAATTGGAAATGATGTAGTGTACGTATATATGTATGTCCTTTTATGTATGTATCTGTTTGAACGATATTTGGAACTAATTAATATGTACGTTCTCATTGAGCAACTGTTGAACAAAATGAATAACATTACAGATATACATACATACATATAGACGATAAAGTTCAATGGCGTTTACAACGAAACAATGAACGTATAGGTAATATTTTAATAGGTACTACTTATAAGCAATAACGGCAGAACTATGAAAAATGTAAACAGAAAAACTGAAATGGTTGGATTAAAATTGGTACTAATAGATTTTATTTGTTCTACGTAAGTCCATATATGTAAATGTAGCATTCAAACCATAGCACAGTGTCACATTTAGTACATTCTGATACGAAAAAAGTGTAATTTTAGAAATATAGACTTCATATAAGGCATATACATATGTTCACAATAAGTGTTAGAACAACCGCACCAAAAAAGGGCGTTTGTATCATGCCCACATCGTATGTTAGTGTTAATTTCGATCTTCTTGAGTACAATAAAAATCAGTAACTTAAAAAGGAACAAATAGAATCAAGCCTTATTAGATCAAAATGCTTTAAATAAATAGGAGTAGTTATAATAAGGACACGCCTACTCTTTATATAGAAAATTTATGCAAGTAATCTTTATGATAACCATGCCCACAACCAAACATTTCGCCCACCTTTCGCTGTTAATTTGTTCATAATCATAATTGTTCAACAAATATTGTAGTTATAGTTGTTCTGCTTAATGCTGTTTTATTTTAAACATTGATCAAGAGAAAAGTCACAAACCACGTAAATCAAACCCTGCAAATAAAGTGGGCGTGTTCATGATATTACCTCACACATTTTTTGTAGGGTTATCACAAAGTTTACGTCAAGTGCATTAGATTTGAGATAATATATTTAAAATTGAAATTATAATTAACGAATAAAGGCTAAAAATGTCCTTTTTAGACAACTCTAAAATGTGCGGAGTCGGAGTTTATACTACCGATAATCACGAATACACCTACTATAGTCTGACGACCACTTCGGACCAATGTCAAAAGATGAGTTGCATTAAAAGTTAAGTTTTTGTTTACATTTTGGATATATTAGTGGAGTTTTAAAATACATATTGAAAAAAATCTCTTGAAATAAATATTTTGCATAAAAATGTTATTATTTTTAATCCTATTTTAATAGACTTTTATATGCAATTTAAATCTAACTCCGAATAGAAGTTATCCGCTTTTGTATACATCATATTATTTTAGTGGAACTAAAGAATTATCATTTTTTTTTCTTCATTTACCTTATACATATGTCTAATTAAAACTACAAAATACATTTCTCTATGAGCAAATCGAACAACTTTTCTGTTTTGACTTTTGTTGTTCTAGATAGGGAAAATGTGACACTATGTAATGTTTCGAACAATATTAACCTTAAGGGTAATGAGGACTTTCTAAAGTATTGCCATAATATCGGCACACAAAAAAATGTTAAAATCACAGATCTGAGGCGTCGAATTGACATATCCAGACGGCTGATAACACTTAGTGCTACATCCTGCTGAAACTTAATATTATTCAAGTTCATATATTCCATTTTAGCTCATAAAAATTCCGTAATCTGTAGCTCTAGAATTTCGAAAAAATGGGGCTATTTCATGTTAAGTGAGTCAATTTTTGAAACCGATGACTTCTCAAACACTTTATCAGGCGATATCTCAGCAAACGCCAGATATTTGTAAACAATTCACAAAGTATTTTTATGGAAAAAAATTAAGACAAATTGTGACATGTATGGGGGATTCAAAATCAAGTCTTCCGAAATTTGGACCAATGTTAGTCCCATTAGATAGTAGTTAGTTTAGACACAATTTTTCAACAAGATTTTTTTTTAACTACATACTTAGTATATGTAAAGATATCTAGAAGATGGAAAATATAACAGATAACCTATCTGCCGACTTTATTTTAAAGATGAGTCTAGATACGGATTCTAGAATTTCGAAAAAAAGCGTCAATTATTTATAATTTTTTTGACGATGAGGAGAAGCGGGGTCTTCGAGCTCTAATTACTTATAAATAACTTTGCCAATCCTGATTCTTTGGCAAAGTAAATTGTTTTTTTATTGATTTACCGCCTAGATGAAATGGGTCTTATAAGTTTCGAAACCATCTCTGACAGTCAATATTTCCAATAAGTAGAAAAATATATCAGAGTCTTAAACAAATGACTATGAAATGATACTTGTATTTGTTATTTGAATTCAATGTTAAGAATAAGCAGCCAAAATTGGGTACCAATTTTAATCGGATTCTTTATTCTTTTCATACATACATAAGTAGTACATATTAGTATAAAATAGAAAACCAAAAGAAAATAAAGAAATAAGAAAATCAACGATTTCAGGGTCACACATATGAAAAATAAATCCATACATAGTAGACTGTTTAAATTTATTTTAATTTAATTTGTGACTATAACAGAAAACGTACTAAATACAATACGAACACAATTTTAGAACAACTAAATTAGTTGTTATTTTCCCTGCAATTAGATTTGTACAGACATGTTATTGTGTCCTCTGAATATTTTAAATTTAGTGAAAATTTGTATTTGAAGAAGGAAACAACGTTTTAAAATTTACAGACAGATATTGTCTGCTGTTGTGTGTGTCCGTGTTTACAAAAAAAAATGAAATTTCTGTGAAATCGAAAAACTAAACGAAATTAAGCAATTATCTAATTCACAAAATATTTTTTAAACAATTAAGCAAACAAAAGTGTTGATTAAAAACAATTGTAAACAAATAAAACCGAAATAAATAAAAATTATTATTGCATATAAAATTGTACTAAAATAACGGTAAGTTGTTGAAATGTCCGATCAAAAACTAAAATTGGAAATCTATTCTCCAAAAAACTTTAGCATATTTTTGTAATGGTGTGTATCAATTTTGTTTTTAAGTATTAATAAAAAAATATTTGTATGTTTTTAGGCGTTTCTTCTTTTTACAAAAAAATAAGTATTTTTAAAATTAAATTTAAAAAAAATATTTAAGTGAAATTAATTTATATAAAGTATATTTAACAAGTTTAAAGTAAGAATATTTTGTTCAGATTACGTTTGCAATTTTCAATGTTTGCATTTTATATAATTATTTTTTTGGTATATATTTTTCAATGTTTATAATGATATTTTATGTAATTTGTATTGTCCCAAAGTTGTAATGAAGTAATCTAAAGGGGTTTTACAGTTTCATTTTTTATAATAATAATTGTCATGGAATGTATGGTATACTTTTAGTTAGTTATTTTTTTGTAAGTAGCCTAAAAGTATTCTTGCAAGATTTTTTGGCAATTTACAAAATGTCACTGTATATCCCTATGATCCTTTTCTCTCTATCGAGCTATGGCAATACATATTTTTTTGACAACTTTTTAAACTTACTCCCAAAAACTAATTTATTCAAAATTTTCTTTGAGTTTAATGTTTCAATGATTGATTGATGGTATTTTTTATAAATACTCGTTCATTTAATTAAATACAATATTTAAGTAGATTTGTTACTGTTTTCTTTAGCAAACTTGAGTGTACAACTGAAATATTTTTTTGATTTTCTTTTGAAATTTAATAAAGTATTGAAATCAAAATTTCATTAAGATAAACACTAGTTCAATTATAAATCAAAATGAATGAATAATATATTGTGTTTCGAAATTTGAAAAAAATTTAAATATTTAATGATTTTATGTATGAATTAATTACAATTAGTTAAATGTGTAGTTTTGAAAGTCAAAACTAATGCAGCTGCACAATATATTGATCATTTTAATTATTTTTCTATTTTTTTTTTTAATTTTCATGGAATGGCTTCATTATTTACACGGCAATGACATTGTAAAGTTTTCATTCAATGAATAATTATTCAGCATTAATTTTAACTATACTTTATAATTGCAATGTTGTTGTTTTTTTTTTTTAATTTTATAATTTTCAATTATTAACTATCAATTGGCATTGTATTGTTGTAATGAAGTAATCATTGTTATGGAAACAAGCTTTTTCGTTCAGTGTATACTACATATGTACATACCTACATATGTACTAATATTGTATTTAGTTATATTTTAATTTATTTGTATATTTTTTAATTTTGCCTTAAATATTTATAATAAAAAACACAAAATGTATTAATAGTAAAAAATATATATCATATTCATTTGACTACAAATGTACATAAATATGTATTTCAAATATGTTATATGAAGTCGTGGTTAAATAATTTTCATTAAAAGAAAAATATTTTAGAAATGTACACTCTAAAAAATTATTTTAAAAATAAAAAATAAATTAGCATTTATGTGAACAAATAATGTAAATATTAAAATTGCAAACGTTGTTGGACTCTTAAATAGTCAACTTTTTATAATTTATATTTAAATAATATTATTTTTGCCCAATATTTGTATAATATTAAAAAAAAAGGAATAAAATAACAAATACTACATTCAAGATAATCCACGACCTCATGTAGCATTTGGAATATACACACATACATACATATGTATGTACATAATACACACACTTATACACATACATATTAATACATTCATACATCGGAGAGTTTGGCCCAATATCCTATTTTAGTCAGATTTTGGTATTGGAAATCGGATTGTAATTTTTACATAAAAGTTTCCCTACTCGGCATAAATTTCTTATTGGTTAATACTTCTCTGTAGAGAAATTATATAGAAAACAAAAAATAATACTCAAAGCAAGATTCTTGATAATATCATACCAAAATTTGACAGGATACTACATATTAGGCCGATACTTATGATTGAATACTAACACAACACTAACCTTTACTTAAACTCACACAAAAAATATTGTAACAACTTATTTATGCAGCTTCTTTGGATTGTGTTTTTGTTTTCTTTAGTTCTGTCCATTTCATATTTTGATATCAAATTAGAAACTGACTTTCTATTTGTTTGTTATATTATCAATTCGCAAAAATTTCCATTCAAATAAAACTACTATTTGTCTTAATAATTGCCATTTATCACTGCAAATTCTTCGGTCAAGATTTTGGAAATTACTCTACAAAAAACTTTACATTTACATTAGGTTAGCTCTCAAACAAAACTTCCCAAAATGAAAATTTAATATGTATTAATATTAATTGATTCTAAGATATCAATTCTTAAAACTATGTGTCCTGACATTAATATTTGGTGAGCTGGGTCAAAGGTTAAAGAAGTACTTTTTTGCAATGTTTTTTTCATATTCCTGGCTAAGGAAAGACATGAAAGTTAGGTTACTTTAATTTAAGTACTTCTGGATGCCCCCATGGGTGCTATACAAAGATCTGGTAAATAAAGTACTGCATACACCAAGAGCTACCAGTATAGTGGTTTTATTGTTAGCAAATTGAACTCCCATATGATGTTTGTTAGAAATTACAAACTATGTATTATATTTTATATTTTGGACGAATTTTTAAAGGACAAAATGCTGATAAAATGTTATTCCAATTCCAAAAAACGAAAAATTTGCAATGCATGATAAAAAGCTTAAATTTGCACAATATCGCATAATCGTACATACATATATCCTTACTTAAGTATGTACGTACATACATCTTTTATTTATTTACAACTTTTGTTACACATACATACATAGCTATATATATAATGTATAACATACATATTATTACTTTGTGTAGATCTGTATGTTATATAAAGAAATGTATTGAATGTTATTTTCTATGTAAAAAATAAATAAGACGAAAAATATAATTAATTCAAACAATTCTACTTCGTGTATTGTTCTTCGTTTATGCTTGTAACAAACAACTTGCTTACCACATCCAAAAAATAAATAAAAAAAAAACTACTTCCTCTCCTCTTCTACATAAAACTACTGCCATACTATGCTACCTACTACTATTACTACTTCAATTCTACTACTCCAATATACTTACGGATCATTATTGCTAAAATTATATAATTCATACTTCAATTATTAACTAATTCAATGTTTGTTTGTATTGAAATGTTATTAAATTAATTACTCGTAACTAACAGAGCACTTCAGCATTCAAAACATTAAACCTTATGCTAGTAGTAGCGCAACTTTCTCCACCATTGTTACTAAAGAACTAATTGAATCCAAGAAGTTGCCTAAAGAAATGTTAGAAATTCATGAAACTCCCACGTCAACAACAAAAATCTACCACACTAAAGACACTCCCTCATTTACAGAAATGAGTGAAAGTAGTCGAACGAAAACACCCAAAATAACAACAACCACAACAACATTCCCTTTTACAAAATCTACACCAAAAGTGGAAAATGAAAACATTCCTTCAGGGTTCGACAAGAAGATCGCAACAATGATAGAGTTAACACCATCTGAAACTGTACCCGTTATAAGCGATAGAGATTATTTGGAGCAAATTATGAAATGCGGCGATGTTAAAAGGAAAATACAGGAATTGGAAACTCAGGGACTATGTCCAACAGATATAAGTAAACAATCGGATTCAGAATCCGAATCAATTGATAAGAATGCTTCAGTTAAAACTGTTGTACATGCAATAGAAGAAAAAATTATTGGATCGACTGTCGAAGCGATACCGTTTGCGGTACGAAAACGCCAGGGAAGCCACACTGAGTGTGACCTGCCACAATTAGAAAAACAAATTTTAAATGAAGTTGATGTTGCATTGACACAGCTGACGACATCAGAACCACCCATCGACGTTGTTAAACTATCGCCAATCGAGGCAACTGAAAAGGAATTTAGTAATATGAGCGCCATTGATGAGGTTGTTTGTGAAAAAATATGTCAAAAAAAGAAAACATTTGAGGTGGCTGAAGAACCTACAAAACTAGATAAGTTTGTCAAAGATACGAATGAAATGAATATTAGTGACGACATTGTAAAGTACAAAGAAATTGATGCAATTACAGGGGAAATGCCCAAAAATGATAATGACACATTACCAAAAGTTAGAGAAGTCGTAGAAGTATTTGAGAAAAAATTCCCAACATCCACAGTAGAAGCCATTCCATTTAGCCCAAGACGGCGGGAAAAACGACCAACAGACTTAGATACAGCCGATGTGGAAAAACAAATCTTAACCGAAACTGATTTACTTTTAGAAAAACTTGCCCCCACAATTACAGAGAAAAAGGTTCAAGTACCAACAATAAATAGTCCCCAACAAACTACAACACCTATTGAAGAGACATGCGAAGTAGTATGTTCGCAACGTAGAATTAGTGAATTAGCAAAATTGTTTGAAGTTCCATCCGAAACTGTACAAAATCAAACTCAGGAATATGACAAAACTAGTTTAGATAAGATTGATTCCAAACATAGTGATACTATAGAAACTGAAAAGACTGTGAACGAAAGTCAATTACCAAAACTGAATTTGACTTCCAACCAAACTAGTATTATTAAGCCATTAGAATATAAAAGTACAACTCTACCCTTAGGTAAACCGAAAACCATAGACAATAAACCAAAGTTTAGCATTTCCAATGAAATGTGGGATAATAAAAATGATCTCAGCACTGACTCACACCTTCCAACAGGCAGCGAAATAACAGCTCATGTCAAAGAAGAAATAAGAAAAATATCAACTGTTGACCAGCACCGAACAGAGGTATCGTCAACACTTGTTACCGGCGTGTCTCTAACCAAAACTTCATTAGAGATATTCTCAATAACAAGCGAACAACCAACAACATTAGTGGTCGATGAAACAAGAAATATCGAACAAGAATATACAATCAGAAGAGAACCCTCAAGTTTTCCTTTATTCAAATCGACAAATTTGCCCGACTCTCCTCAAAATGGCACTGATGTGTTAATGGGCAAAATTGCTGACAAAATAACATTTCCACCACTTATTCAAAAATCACAGACTGAAATAGAATCTTCCAATGATGAACAATTAAAACAAATTTACGAAAATCATAAAATTATGTCATTACTTGATAAACGTAAGACAAATTCCATAAAGAATATTGCCGGTAATTTACCTTTTGATAACGATGAACCTCACTCATCATTTCCCATCTCCGCCCAAACAAAACACTATATGGAACAAGATAAGTTCATTCAAGACATACAAACTTTTCCCCCTGAACAAATACAAACTTCTGTCAAAACAGTATCAGAAGTGGACTCTGAAGATGATCTAGAACTAAACGATTCGAAACTGAAAACTTCTCAGCATTTAATCGTCTCAACAAAAAATAATGTTGAAGACAAACCAAAATCTCCTTTAGACTTGAAAAAATCTGACATTAAACCGACAACTATCGATGATTCTGATGTTGAAATTGAATTAGAGAAACCAAGAGATATTGAATCGAAGCCTTCGATGCCTCAAATATTTTCTGATTTACCAGAATCTTTAGATAAATCGGACAAACCAAAATCTTCTATAGATTCGAAAACATCTCCCATTAAACCGACATATGTTGCTGATTCTGAGGATGAATTAGAACTAAAGGAACCAACAGCTGTTGACCCAAAGCCTTCGATTCCTTCACAATTTTCTGATTTACCAGAATCTCTAGACAAATCAGACAAGCCAAAATCTCCTGTAGACTCCAAAACATCTCCCGCTAAACCGACATCTGTTGATGATTCTGAAGATAAATCTGAACTAAAGAAACCAATAGCTATTGACTCGGAGCTTTCGATGCCTCCACAATTTTCAGATTTACCAGAATCTCTAAACAAGTCGGCAAAACTGATATCACCTACAGATTTGAAAATGTCTCCGATTAAACCGACATCTGTTGATGATTCTGAAGATGAAATTGACTCGAAGCCTACGATGCCTCCACAATTTTCTGATTTACCAGAATCTCTAGACAAATCGGACAAACCAAAATCTACTGTAGATTCGAAAACATCTTTCATTAAACCGACATCTGCTGATGATAATGAAGCTGCAATTGAACTCAAGAAATCAACTGCTATTGACTCAAAGCCTTCAATGCCCACACCATTTTCTGAATTACCAGATTCTCTAGACAAATCGGACAAGCCAAAACCTCCTGCAGATTCGAAAGTATCTCCAATTAAACCGACAGAATCATCACCATCTGTTAATGATTCTGAAGATGCAATTGAACTCAAGAAACCAGAAGCTATTGCCTTGAAGCCTTCGATACCTAAACAATTTTCGGATTTACAAGAATCTCTAGACAAATCGGAAAAATCAATATCTCCTATAGATTCAAAAACAGCTTCCATTAAACCGACATCTGTTGATGATAATAAAGATGAAATTAAACTCAAGAAACCAACAGCTACTGACTCAAAGCCTTCAATGCCTACACGATTTTCTGAATTACCAGAATTTCTAGACAAATCGGCCAAACCAAAATCTCCTGTAGATTCGCAAACATCTCCCGTTAAACAGACATCTGGTGATTCTGAAGATAAATTTGAACTAAAGAAACCAACAGCTATTGACTCGAAGCCTTCGATGCTTCCACAATTTTCTGAATTACCAGAATCTCTAGAAAAATCGGACAAACCAAAATCTCCTGTAGATTCGAAAACATTTCCCATTAAACCGACATCTTTTGATGATTCTGAAGATGAAATTGAACTCAAGAGACCAACAGTTACTGACTCGAAGCCTTCGTTGCATCCACAATTTTCTGAATTAACAGAAACTCTAGACAAATCGGACAAACCAAACCCTCTTGTAGATTCTAAAAAAATATCTCCCATTAAACCGATATCTGTAGATGATACTAAAGATGAAAGTGAACTCAAGAAACCAACAGCTATTGACTCCAAACCTTCGATTCCTCCACAATTTTTTGATTTACCAGAATCTTTAGACAAATCGGACAAACCAAAATCTCCTGTAGATTCGAAAACATCTCCCATTAAACCGTCATCTGCAGATGATTCTGAAGATAAATTTGAACTAAAGAAACCAACAGCTATTGACTCGAAGCATTCGATTCCCCCACAATTTTCTGAATTACCAGAATCTCTAGACAAATTGGACAAACCAAATTCTCCTGTAGATTCGAAAACATCTCCCATTAAACCGACATCTTTTGATGTTTCTGAAGATGAAATTGAACTCAAGAAACCAACAGCTATTGACTCAAAATCTTCGATTCCCCCACAATTTTCTGATTTACCAGAATCTCTAGACAAATCGGAAAAACCAAAATCTCCTGTGGCTTCGAAAATGTCTCCCATTAAACCGACATCTTTTGATGATTCTGAAGATGAAATTGATCTCAAAAAACCAACAGCTATTGACTCGAAACCTTCGATTCCTCCACAATTTTCTGAATTACCAGAATCTCTAGACAAATCGGACAAACCAAAATCTCCTGCTAAACCGACATCTTTTGATGATTCTGAAGATGAAATTGAACTCAAGAAACCAACAGCAATTGACTTGAAAACTTCGATTCCTCCACAATTTTCTGATTTACCACAATCTCTAGACAAATCGGACAAACCAAAACTTCCTGTAGATTCGAAAACATTTCCTATTAAACCGATATCTGTTGATGATTCTGAAGATGAAACTGAACTCAAGAAACCAACAGATATTGACTCGAAGCCTTCGATGACTACACAGTTTTCTGAATTACAAGAATCTTCAGACAAATCGGACAAACCAAAATCTCCTGTAGATTCGAAAATATCTCCCACTAAACAGACACATTTTGATGATTCAGTAGATGAAATTGAACTCAAGAAACCAACAGCTATTGACTCGAAACCTTCGATACCTCCACAATTTTCTGAATTACTAGAATCTCTAGACAAATCTGACAAACCAAAATCTCCTAAAGATTCGAAAACATTTCCCATTACACTGATACCTGTTGATGATTCTGAAGATGAAACTGAACTCAAGAAACCAACAGATATTGACTCGAAGCCTTCGATGACTACACAATTTTCTGAATTACCAGAATCTCTAGACAAATCGGACAAACCAAAATCTCATGTGGATTCGAAAATATCTCCCATTAAACCGACATCTTTTGATGGTTCTGAAGATGAAATTGAATCTGAAGATGTATTTGAACTAAGGCAACCAACTGCTATTGATGCGAAGCCTTCGATGCTTCCACAATTTTCTGAATTACCAGAATCTCTAGACAGCTCGGACAAACCAAAATCTTCTGCAGATTCGAAAATATCTCCCATTAAACCGACATCTGCTGATGATTCTGAAGATGAAATTGAACTCAAGAAACCAACAGATATTGCCTTGAAACATTCGATTCCTCCTCAATTTTCTGATTTACCAGAATCTCTAGACAAATCGGACAAACCAAAATCTCCTGTAGATTCGAAAACATCTCCCATTAAAGCGACATCTGCATATAATTCTGAAGATAAATTTGAACTCAAGAAACCAACAGGTATTGACTCGAAACCTTCGATACCTCTACAATTTTCTGATTTACCAGAATCTCTAGACAAATCGGACAAACCAAAATCTCCTGTAGATTCGAAAATATCTCCCATTAAACCAATATCTGTAGATGATACTAAAGATGAAATTGAAATCAAGAAACCAACAGCTATTGAATCGAAACCTTTGATTTCTCCACAATTTTCTGATTTAACAGAATCTCTAGACAAATCGGACAAACAAAAATCTCCTTTAGGTTTGAAAACATTTCCCATTAAACCGAAATCTGTTGATGATTCTGAAGATGAAAGTGAACTCAAGAAACCAACAGCTATTGACTCGAAGCCTTCGATGCTTCCACAATTTTCCGAATTACCAGAATCTCTAGACAAATCGGACAACCCAAAATCTCCTGTAGATTCGAAATCATCTCCCGTTGAACCGACATCTGCAGATGATTCTGAAGATGAAACTGAACTCAAAAAACCAACAGATATTGACTCGAAGCCTTTGATGACCACACAATTTGCTGAATTACTAGAATCTGTAGACAAATCGGACAAACCAAAATCTCCTGTAGATTCGAAAACATCTCCTGCTAAACCGATATCTGTAGATAATACTAATGATGAAATTGAACTCAAGAATCCAACATATATTGACTCGAAACCTTTGATTCTTCCACATCTTTCTGGTTTACCAGAATCGCTAGACAAATCGGACAAACCAAAATCACCTGTAGATTCGAAAATATCTCCCATTAAACCGACATCTTTTGATGATTCTGAAGATGAAATTGAACTCAAGAGACCAACAGCTATTGACTCGAAGCCTTCGATGCCTCCACAGTTTTCTGAATTACTAGAATCTATAGACAAATCGGACAAACCAAAATCTCCTGTAGATTCGAAAACATCTCCCATTAAACCGACATCTTTTGATGATTCTGAAGATGAAATTGAACTCAAGAAACAAACAGCTATTGACTCCAAACCTTCGATTCCTCCAAAATTTTCTGATTTCCCAGATCCTCTAGACAAATCGGACAAACCAAAATCTCCTGTCGATACGAAAACATCTCCCATTAAACTGATATCTGTTGATGATTCTGAAGATGAATTTGAACTAAAGAAACCAACAGCTAGTGGCTCGAAGCCTTCGATGCTTCCACAATTTTCTGATTTACCAGAATCTCTAGACAAATCGGACAAACCAAAATCTCCTGTAGATTCGAAAACTTTTCCCATTAAACCGACATCTTTTGATGATTCTGAAGATGAAATTGAACTCAAGAAACAAACAGCTATTGACTCCAAACCTTCGATTCCTCCAAAATTTTCTGATTTCCCAGATCCTCTAGACAAATCGGACAAACCAAAATCTCCTGTAGATTCGAAAACATCTCCCATTAAACTGACATCTGTTGATGATTCTGAAGATGAACTTGAACTTAAGAAACCAACAGCTAGTGACTCGAAGCCTTCGATGCTTCCACAATTTTCTGAATTAACAGAAACTCTAGACAAATCGGACAAACCAAAATCTCCTGTAGATTCAAAAACTTCTCCCATTAAACCGACATCTTTTGATGATTCTGAAGATGAAAATGAACTCAAGAAACAAACAGCTATTGACTCCAAACCTTCGATTCCTCCAAAATTTTCTGATTTCCCAGATCCTCTAGACAAATCAGACAAACCAAAATCTCCTGTAGATTCGAAAACATCTCCCATGAAACTGACATCCGTTGATGATTCTGAAGATGAATTTGAACTAAAGAAACCAACAGCTATTGACTCGACACCTTCGATGCTTCCACAATTTTCTGAATTACCAGAATCGCTAGACCAATTGGACAAACCAAAATCTCCTGTAGATTCGAAAACATCTCTTGGTAAACCGACATCTTTTGATAATTCTGAAGATGAAATTGAACTCAAGAAACCAACAGCTATTGACTCGAAACCTTCGATTCCTCCACAATTTTCTGATTTACCAAAATCTCTACACAAATCGGACAAGCCAAAATCTCCTGTAGGTTCGAAAACATCTCCCATTAAGCTGACATCTGCAGATGATTCTGAAGATGAATTTGAACTAAAGAAACCAACAGCTATTGACCCAAAGCCTTCGATGCTTCCACAATTTTCTGAATTACGAGAATCTCTAGACAAGTCGGACAAACCAAAATCTCCTGTAGATTCGAAAACATCTCTGGCTAAACCGACATCTTTTGATGATTCTGAAGATAAAATTGAACTCAAGAAACCAGCAGCTAGTGATAAGAAGCCTTCGATGCCTCCACAATTTTCTGATTTACCAGAATCTCTAGACAAATCGCACAAACCAAAATCTCCTGTGGATTCGAAAATGTCTCCCATTAAACTGACATCAGTTGATGATTCTGAAGATGAATTTGAACTCAAGAAACCAACAGATATTGACTCGAAGCCTTCGATGACTACACAATTTTCTGAATTACCAGGATCTCTAGACAAATCCGACAAACTGAAATCTCCTTTAGATTCGAAAACATTTCCCATTAAACCAGTATCTGTTGATGATTCTGAAGATGAATCTGAACTCAAGAAACCAACAGACATTGACTCGAAGCCTTCGAAGACTACACAATTTTCTGAATTACCAGAATCTCTAGACAAATCGGATAAACCAAAATCTCCTGTAGATTCGAAAACTTCTCCTGCTAAACCGAAATCTCCTGTAGATTCGAAAACATCTCCTGCTAAACCGACATCTTTTGATGATTCTGAAGATGAAATGGAACTCGGGAAACCACCAGCTATTGACCAGAAGCCTTCGATGCCTCCACAATTTTCTGAATTACCAGAATCTCTAGACAAATCGGACAAACCAAAATCTCCTGTAGATTCGAAAACATCTCCCATTAAACCGACATCTTTTGATGATTCTGAAGATGAATTTGAACTCAAGAAACCAACAGCTACTGACCCAAAACCTTCGATTCCTCCACATTTTTCTGATTTACCAGAATCTCTTGACAAATCGGACAAACCAAAATCTCCTGGAGATTCGAAAACATCTCCCATTAAACCGACATCTGCAGATGATTCTGAATATGAATTTGAACTCAAGAAACCAACAGCTACTGACCCAAAACCTTCGACTCCTCCACAATTTTTTGATTTACCAGAATCTCTAGATAAATCGGACAAACCAAAATCTACTGTAGATTCGAAAATATCTCCCATTAAACCGACATCTTTTGATGATTCTGAAGATGAAATTGAACTTAAGAAACCAACAGCTACTGACCCAAAACCTTCGACTCCTCCACAATTTTCTGATTTACCAGAATCTCTAGACAAATCGGACAAACCAAAATCTCCTGTAGATTCGAAAACATCCCCCATTAAACCGATATCTGTTGATGATACTAGAGATAAAATTGAACCTATGATACCAACAGCTACTGACCTAAAACCTTCGATTCCTCCACAATTTTCTGATTTAGCAGAATCTCTGGACAAATCGGACAAACCAAAATCTCCTGTAGATTCGAAAATATCCCCCATTAAACCGACATCTTTTGATGATTCTGAAGATGAAATTGAACTCAAGAAACCAACAGCTATTGACTCGAAACCTTCGATACCTCCACAATTTTCTGATTTACCAGAATCTCTAGACAAATCGGGCAAACCAAAATCTCCAATAGATTCGAAAAAATCTCCCATTAAGCCGACATCTTTTGATGATTCTGAAGATGAAATTGAACTCAAGAAACCAACAGCTATTGACTCGAAACCTGCGATTCCTCCACAATTTTCTGAATTACCAGGATCTCTAGACAAATCGGACAAACCAAAATCTCCTGTAGATTCGAAAATATCTCCCATTAAACCGACATCTGCAGATGATCCTGAAGATGAAATTGAACTCAAGAAACCAACAGCTACTGACCCAAAACCTTCGATTCCTCCACAATTTTCTGATTTAGCAGAATCTCTAGACAAATCGGATAAACCAAAATCTCCTGTAGATTCGAAAATATCCCCCATTAAACCGACATCTTTTGATGATTCTGAAGATGAAATTGAACTCAAGAAACCAACAGCTATTGACTCGAAACCTTCGATACCTCCACAATTTTCTGATTTACCAGAATCTCTAGACAAATCGGACAAACCAAAATCTCCTGTAGATTCGAAAACATCCCCCATTAAACTGATGCCTGCTGCCGATACTAAAGATGAAACTGAACTCAAGAAACCAACGGATATTGACTCGAAGCATTCGATACTTCCACAGTTTTCTGAATTGCCAGAATCTGTAGACAAATCGGACAAACCAAAATCTCCAATAGATTCGAAAAAATCTCCCATTAAGCCGACATCTTTTGATGATTCTGAAGATGAAATTGAACTCAAGAAACCAACAGCTATTGACTCGAAACCTGAGATTCCTCCACAATTTTCTGAATTACCAGGATCTCTAGACAAATCGGACAAACCAAAATCTCCTGTAGATTCGAAAACATCTCTCATTAAACCGACATCTGCAGATGATCCTGAAGATGAAATTGAACTCAAGAAACCAACAGCTACTGACCCAAAACCTTCGATTCCTCCACAATTTTCTGATTTAGCAGAATCTCTAGACAAATCGGATAAACCAAAATCTCCTGTAGATTCGAAAATATCTCCCATTAAACCGACATCTTTTGATGATTCTGAAGATGAAATTGAACTCAAGAAACCAACAGCTATTGACTCGAAACCTTCGATTCCTCCTCAATTTTCTGATTTACCAGAATTTCTAGATAAATCGGACAAACCAAAATCTCCTGTAGATTCGAAAACATCTCCCTTTAAACTGATGCCTGCTGCCGATACTAAAGATGAAACTGAACTCAAAAAACCAACCGCTATTGACTCGAAGCCTTCTATGCCTCCACAATTTTCTGATTTACCAAAATCTCTAGACAAATCGGACAAACCAAAATCTCCTGTGAATTCGAAAATGTCTCCCATTAAACCGACATCTTTTGATGATTCCGAAGATGAAATTGAATCTGAAGATGTATTTGAACTAAGGCAACCAACTGCTATTGATGCGAAGCCTTCGATGCTTCCACAATTTTCTGAATTACCAGAATCTCTAGACAAATCGGAAAAACCAAAATCTCACGTAGATTCGAAAACATCTCTCATAAAACTGACATCTGCAGATGATTCTGAAGATGAATTTGAACTAAAGAAACCAACAGCTACTGACTCGAAGCATTCGATGCTTCCACAATTTTCTGAATTACCAGAATCTCTAGACAAATCAGATAAACCAAAGTCTCCTGTAGATTCGAAAACATCTCCCATTAAACCGATATCTGTAGATGGTACTAAAGATGAAATTGAACTCAAGAAACCAACAGCTACTGACCCAAAACCTTCGATTCCTCCACAATTTTCTGATTTAGCAGAATCTCTAAACAAATCGGACAAACCAAAATCTCCTGTAGATTCGAAAATATCTCCCATTAAACCGACATCTTTTGATGATTCCGAAGATGAAATTGAATCTGAAGATGTATTTGAACTAAGGCAACCAACTGCTATTGATGCCAAGCCTTCGATGCTTCCACAATTTTCTGAATTACCAGAATCTCTAGACAGCTCGGACAAACCAAAATCTCCTGTAGATTCGAAAACATCTCTCATAAAACTGACATCTGCAGATGATTCTGAAGATGAATTTGAACTAAAGAAACCAACAGCTACTGACTCGAAGCATTCGATGCTTCCACAATTTTCTGAATTACCAGAATCTCTAGACAAATCAGATAAACCAAAATCTCCTGTAGATTCGAAAACATCTCCCATTAAACCGATATCTGTAGATGATACTAAATATGAAATTGAACTCAAGAAACCAACAGCTATTGACTCAAAACCTTCGATTCCTCCACAATTTTCTGATTTGCCAGAATCTCTAGACAAATCGGATAAACCAAAATCTCCTGTATATTCGAAAACATCTCCTGCTAAACCTGAAGATGATTCTGAAGATGAATTTGAAATCAAGAAACCAACAGCTATTGACTCGAAGCCTTCGAAGCTTCCACAATTTTCTGAATTACCAGAATCTCTAGACAAATCGGACAAACCAAAATCTCCTGTAGATTCGAAAACATCTCCCATTAAACCGATATCTGTAGATGATACTAAAGATGAAATTGAACTCAAGAAACCAACAGCTATTGACTCGAAACCTTCGATTCCTCCACAATGTTCTGATTTACCAGAATCTCTAGACAAATCGGACGAACCAAAATCTCCTGTAGATTCGAAAACATCTCCCAATAAACTGACACCTGTAGACGATACTAAAGATAAAATTGAACTCAAGAAACCAACAGTTAGTGACTCGAAGCCTTTGATGCCTCCACAATTTTCTGATTTACCAGGATCTCTAGACAAATCGGACAAACCTAAATCTCCTGTGGATTCAAAGATATCTCCCATTAAACCGATATCTGCAGATGATTCTGAAGATAAATTTGATCAAAAGAAACCAACAGCTATTGACTCGAAGCCTTCGATGCTTCCACAATTTTCTGAATTACCAGAATCTCTAGACAAATCGGACAAACCAAAATCTCCTGTAGATTCGAAAACATCTTCTGCTAAACCTGCAGATGATTCAGAAGATGAAATTGAAATCGAGAAACCAACAGCTATTGACTCGAAACCTTCGATGCTTCCACAATTTTCTGAATTACCAGAATCTCTAGACAAATCAGACAAACCAAAATCTCCTGTATATTCGAAAACATCTCCTGCTAAACCTGCAGATGTTTCTGAAGATGAATATGAAATCAAGAAACCAACAGCTATTGACTCGAAGCCTTCGAAGCTTCCACAATTTTCTGAATTACCAGAATCTCTAGACAAATCGGACAAACCAAAATCTACTGTTGATTCGAAAACATCTCCTGCTAAACCTGCAGATGATTCTGAAGATGAATTTGAAATCAAGAAACCAACAGCTATTGACTCGAAGCCTTCGATGCCTCCACAATTTTCTGATTTACCAAAATCTCTAGACAAATCGGACAAACCAAAATCTCCTGTGAATTCGAAAATGTCTCCCATTAAACCGACATCTTTTGATGATTCTGAAGATGAAATTGAATCTGAAGATGTATTTGAACTAAGGCAACCAACTGCTATTGATGCGAAGCCTTCGATGCTTCCACAATTTTCTGAATTACCAAAATCTCTAGACAGCTCGGACAAACCAAAATCTCCTGTAGATTCGAAAACATCTCTCATTAAACTGACATCTGCAGATGATTCTAAAGATGAATTTGAACTAAAGAAACCAACAGCTACTGACTCGACGCATTCGATGCTTCCACAATTTTCTGAATTACCAGAATCTCTAGACAAATCAGATAAACCAAAATCTCCTGTAGATTCGAAAACATCTCCCATTAAACTGATATTTGTAGATGATACTAAAGATGAAATTGAACTCAAGAAACCAACAGCTATTGACTCGAAACCTTCGAATCCTCCACAATGTTCTGATTTACCAGAATCTCTAGACAAATCGGACGAACCAAAATCTCCTGTAGATTCGAAAACATATCCCAATAAACTGACATCTGTAGACGATACTAAAGATGAAATTGAACTCAAGAAACCAACAGTTAGTGACTCGAAGCCTTTGATGCCTCCACAATTTTCGGATTTACCAGAATCTCTAGACAAATCGGACAAACCTAAATCTCCTGTGGTTTCAAAGATATCTCCCATTACACCGACATCTGCAGATGATTCTAAAGATAAATTTGATCAAAAGAAACCAACAGCTATTGACTCGAAGCCTTCGATGCTTCCACAATTTTCTGAATTACCAGAATCTCTAGACAAATCGGACAAACCAAAATCTCCTGTATATTTGAAAACATCTCCTGCTAAACCTGCAGATGATTCTGAAGATGAATTTGAAATCAAGAAACCAACAGCTATTGACTCGAAGCCTTCGAAGCTTCCACAATTTTCTGAATTACCAGAATCTCTAGACAAATCGGACAAACCAAAATCTCCTGTAGATTCGAAAACATCTCCTGCTAAACCTTCAGATGATTCACAAGATGAATTGAAAATCAAGAAACCAACAGCTATTGACTCGAAGCCTTCGATGCCTCCACAATTTTCTGATTTACCAAAATCTCTAGACAAATCGGACAAACCAAAATCTCCTATGAATTCGAAAATGTCTCCCATTAAACCGACGTCTTTTGATGATTCTGAAGATGAAATTGAATCTGAAGATGTATTTGAACTAAGGCAACCAACTGCTATTGATGCGAAGCCTTCGATGCTTCCACAATTTTCTGAATTACCAAAATCTCTAGACAAATCGGACAAACCAAAATCTCCTATAGATTCGAAAACATCTTCTGCAAAACCTGCAGATGATTCAGAATATGAAATTGAAATCGAGAAACCAACAGCTATTGACTCGAAACCTTCGATGCTTCCACAATATTCTGAATTTCCAGAATCTTTAGACAAATCGGACAAGCCAAAATCTTCTGTATATTTGAAAACATCTCCTGCTAAACCTGCAGATGATTCTGAAGATGAAATTGAATCTGAAGATGTATTTGAACTAAGGCAACCAACTGCAACAGATGCGAAGCCTTCGATGCTTCCACAATTTTCTGAATTACCAGAATCTCTAGACAAATCGGACAAACCAAAATCTCCTGTAGATTCGAAAACATCTCTCATTAAACTGACATCTGCAGATGATTCTAAAGATGAATTTGAACTAAAGAAACCAACAGCTACTGACTCGACGCATTCGATGCTTCCACAATTTTCTGAATTACCAGAATCTCTAGACAAATCAGATAAACCAAAATCTCCTGTAGATTCGAAAACATCTCCCATTAAACCGATATTTGTAGATGATACTAAAGATGAAATTGAACTCAAGAAACCAACAGCTATTGACTCGAAATCTTCGATTCCTCCACAATATTCTGATTTACCAGAATCTCTAGACAAATCGGACGAACCAAAATCTCCTGTAGATTCGAAAACATCTCCCAATAAACTGACATCTGTAGACGATACTAAAGATGAAATTGAACTCAAGAAACCAACAGCTATTGACTCGAAGCCTTCGATGCTTCCACAATTTTCTGAATTACCAGAATTTGTAGACAAATCGGACAAACCAAAATCTCCTGTAGATTCGAAAACATCTTCTGCAAAACCTGCAGACGATTCAGAAGATGAAATTGAAATCGAGAAACCAACAGCTATTGACTCGAAACCTTCGATGCTTCCACAATATTCTGAATTTCCAGAATCTCTAGACAAATCGGACAAGCCAAAATCTCCTGTATATTCGAAAACATCTCCTGCTAAACCTGCAGATGATTTTGAAGATGAATTTGAAATCAAGAAACCAACAGCTATTGACTCGAAGCCTTCGAAGCTTCCACAATTTTCTGAATTACCAGAATCTCTAGACAAATCTGACAAACCAAAACCTCCTGTTGATTCGAAAACATCTCCTGCTAAACCTGCAGATGATTCTGAAGATGAATTTGAAATCAGGAAACCAACAGCTATTGAGTCGAAGCCTTCGATGCCTCCACAATTTTCTGATTTTCCAAAATCTCTAGACAAATCGGACAAACCAAAATCTCCTGTAGATTCGAAAACATCTCCCATTAAACCGATATCTGTAGATGATACTAAAGATGAAATTGAACTCAAGAAACCAACAGCTATTGACTCGAAACCTTCGAAGCCTCCACAATATTCTGAATTACCAGAATCTCTAGACAAATCGGACAAACCAAAATCTCCTGTAGATTCGAAAACATCTCCTGAAAAACCTGCAGATGATTCAGAAGATGAAATTGAAATCGAAAAACCAACAGCTATTGACTCGAAACCTTCGATGCTTCCACAATTTTCTGAATTACCAGAATCTCTAGACAAATCGGACAAACCAAAATCTCCTGTAGATTCGAAAACATCTCCTGCTAAACCTGCAGATGATTCTGAAGATGAATTTGAAATCAAGAAACCAACAGCTATTGATTCGAAGCCTTCGATGCTTCCACAATTTTCTGAATTACCAGAATCTCTAGACAAATCGGACAAGTCAAAATCTCCTGTATATTCGAAAACATCTCCTGCTAAACCTGCAGATGATTCTGAAGATGAATTTGAAATCAAGAAACCAACAGCTATTGACTCGAAGCCTTCGAAGCTTCCACAATTTTCTGAATTACCAGAATCTCTAGACAAATCGGACAAACCAAAATCTCCTGTTGATTCGAAAACATCTCCTGCTAAACCTGCAGATGATTCTGAAGATGAATTTGAAATCAAGAAACCAACAGCTATTGACTCGAAGCCTTCGATGCCTCCACAATTTTCTGATTTACCAAAATCTCTAGACAAATCGGACAAACCAAAATCTCCTGTGAAATCGAAAATGTCTCCGATTAAACTGACATCTTTTGATGATTCTAAAGATGAAATTGAATCTGAAGACGTATTTGAACTAAGGCAACCAGCTGCTATTGATGCGAAGCCTTCGATGCTTCCACAATTTTCTGAATTAGCAGAATCTCTAGACAAATCGGACAAAGCAAAATCACCTGTAGATTCGAAAACATCTTTCATTAAACTGACATCTGCAGATGATTCTGAAGATGAATTTGAACTAAAGAAACCAACAGCTACTGACTCGATGCATTCGATGCTTCCACAATTTTCTGAATTACAAGAATCTCTAGACAAATCAGATAAACCAAAATCTCCTGTAGATTTGAAAACATCTTCCATTAAACCGATATCTGTAGATGATACTAAAGATGAAATTGAACTCAAGAAACCAACAGCTATTGACTCGAAACCTTCGATTCCTCCACAATATTCTGATTTAACAGAATCTCTAGACAAATCGGACAAACCAAAATCTCACGTAGATTCGAAAACATCTCCTGCTAAACCTGCAGGTGATTCTGAAGATGAATTTGAAATCATGAAACCAACAGCTATTGATTCGAAGCCTTCGATGCTTCCACAATTTTCTGAATTACCAGAATCTCTAGACAAATCGGACAAACCAAAATCTCCTGTAGATTCGAAAACATCTCCCATTAAACCGATATCTGTAGATGATACTAAAGATGAAATTGAACTCAAGAAACCAACAGCTATTGACTCGAAACTTTCGATTCCTCCACAATATTCTGATTTACCAGAATCTCTAGACAAATCGGACAAACCAAAATCTCCTGTAGATTCAAAAACATCTCCTGCAGATGATTCAGAAGATGAAATTGAAATCGAGAAACCAACAGCTATTGACTCGAAACCTTCGATGCTTCCACAATTTTCTAAATTACCAGAATCTCTAGACAAATCGGACAAACCAATATCTCACGTAGATTCGAAAACATCTCCTGCTAAACCTGCAGGTGATTCTGAAGATGAATTTGAAATCATGAAACCAACAGCTATTGATTCGAAGCCTTCGATGCTTCCACAATTTTCTGAATTACCAGAATTTGTAGACAAATCGGACAAACCAAAATCTCCTGTAGATTCGAAAACATCTTCTGCAAAACCTGCAGACGATTCAGAAGATGAAATTGAAATCGAGAAACCAACAGCTATTGACTCGAAACCTTCGATGCTTCCACAATATTCTGAATTTCCAGAATCTCTAGACAAATCGGACAAGCCAAAATCTCCTGTATATTCGAAAACATCTCCTGCTAAACCTGCAGATGATTTTGAAGATGAATTTGAAATCAAGAAACCAACAGCTATTGACTCGAAGCCTTCGAAGCTTCCACAATTTTCTGAATTACCAGAATCTCTAGACAAATCTGACAAACCAAAACCTCCTGTTGATTCGAAAACATCTCCTGCTAAACCTGCAGATGATTCTGAAGATGAATTTGAAATCAGGAAACCAACAGCTATTGAGTCGAAGCCTTCGATGCCTCCACAATTTTCTGATTTTCCAAAATCTCTAGACAAATCGGACAAACCAAAATCTCCTGTAGATTCGAAAACATCTCCCATTAAACCGATATCTGTAGATGATACTAAAGATGAAATTGAACTCAAGAAACCAACAGCTATTGACTCGAAACCTTCGAAGCCTCCACAATATTCTGAATTACCAGAATCTCTAGACAAATCGGACAAACCAAAATCTCCTGTAGATTCGAAAACATCTCCTGAAAAACCTGCAGATGATTCAGAAGATGAAATTGAAATCGAAAAACCAACAGCTATTGACTCGAAACCTTCGATGCTTCCACAATTTTCTGAATTACCAGAATCTCTAGACAAATCGGACAAACCAAAATCTCCTGTAGATTCGAAAACATCTCCTGCTAAACCTGCAGATGATTCTGAAGATGAATTTGAAATCAAGAAACCAACAGCTATTGATTCGAAGCCTTCGATGCTTCCACAATTTTCTGAATTACCAGAATCTCTAGACAAATCGGACAAGTCAAAATCTCCTGTATATTCGAAAACATCTCCTGCTAAACCTGCAGATGATTCTGAAGATGAATTTGAAATCAAGAAACCAACAGCTATTGACTCGAAGCCTTCGAAGCTTCCACAATTTTCTGAATTACCAGAATCTCTAGACAAATCGGACAAACCAAAATCTCCTGTTGATTCGAAAACATCTCCTGCTAAACCTGCAGATGATTCTGAAGATGAATTTGAAATCAAGAAACCAACAGCTATTGACTCGAAGCCTTCGATGCCTCCACAATTTTCTGATTTACCAAAATCTCTAGACAAATCGGACAAACCAAAATCTCCTGTGAAATCGAAAATGTCTCCGATTAAACTGACATCTTTTGATGATTCTAAAGATGAAATTGAATCTGAAGACGTATTTGAACTAAGGCAACCAGCTGCTATTGATGCGAAGCCTTCGATGCTTCCACAATTTTCTGAATTAGCAGAATCTCTAGACAAATCGGACAAAGCAAAATCACCTGTAGATTCGAAAACATCTTTCATTAAACTGACATCTGCAGATGATTCTGAAGATGAATTTGAACTAAAGAAACCAACAGCTACTGACTCGATGCATTCGATGCTTCCACAATTTTCTGAATTACAAGAATCTCTAGACAAATCAGATAAACCAAAATCTCCTGTAGATTTGAAAACATCTTCCATTAAACCGATATCTGTAGATGATACTAAAGATGAAATTGAACTCAAGAAACCAACAGCTATTGACTCGAAACCTTCGATTCCTCCACAATATTCTGATTTAACAGAATCTCTAGACAAATCGGACAAACCAAAATTTCACGTAGATTCGAAAACATCTCCTGCTAAACCTGCAGGTGATTCTGAAGATGAATTTGAAATCATGAAACCAACAGCTATTGATTCGAAGCCTTCGATGCTTCCACAATTTTCTGAATTACCAGAATCTCTAGACAAATCGGACAAACCAAAATCTCCTGTAGATTCGAAAACATCTCCCATTAAACCGATATCTGTAGATGATACTAAAGATGAAATTGAACTCAAGAAACCAACAGCTATTGACTCGAAACTTTCGATTCCTCCACAATATTCTGATTTACCAGAATCTCTAGACAAATCGGACAAACCAAAATCTCCTGTAGATTCAAAAACATCTCCTGCAGATGATTCAGAAGATGAAATTGAAATCGAGAAACCAACAGCTATTGACTCGAAACCTTCGATGCTTCCACAATTTTCTAAATTACCAGAATCTCTAGACAAATCGGACAAACCAATATCTCACGTAGATTCGAAAACATCTCCTGCTAAACCTGCAGGTGATTCTGAAGATGAATTTGAAATCATGAAACCAACAGCTATTGATTCGAAGCCTTCGATGCTTCCACAATTTTCTGAATTACCAGAATCTCTAGACAAATCGGACAAACCAAAATCTCCTGTAGATTCGAAAACATCTCCCATTAAACCGATATCTGTAGATGATTCTGAAGATAATTTTGATCAAAAGAAACCAACAGCTATTGACTCGAAACTTTCGATTCCTCCACAATATTCTGATTTACCAGAATATCTAGACAAATCGGACAAACCTAAATCTCCTGTAGATTCAAAGATATCTGCCGTTAAACCGACATCTGCAGATGATTCTGAAGATAAATTTGATCAAAAGAAACCAACAGCTATTCACTCGAAGCCTTCGATGCTTCCACAATTTTCTGAATTACCAGAATCTCTAGACAGATCGGACAAACCAAAATCTCCTGTAGATTCGAAAACATCTTCTGCTAAACCTGCAGATGATTCAGAAGATGAAATTGAAATCGAGAAACCAACAGCTATTGACTCGAAACCTTCGATGCTTCCACAATTTTCTGAATTACCAGAATCTCTAGACAAATCGGACAAACCAAAATCTCCTGTAGATTCGAAAACATCTCCCATTAAACCGATATCTGTAGATGATACTAAAGATGAAATTGAACTCAAGAAACCAACAGCTATTGACTCGAAACCTTCGATTCCTCCACAATATTCTGATTTACCAGAATCTCTAGACAAATCGGACAAACTAAAATCTCCTGTAGATTCGAAAACATCTCCCAATAAACTGACATCTGTAGACGATACTAAAGATGAAATTGAACTCAAGAAACCAACAGTTAGTGACTCGAAGCCATTGATGCCTCCACAATTTTCTGATTTACCAGAATCTCTAGACAAATCGGACAAACCTAAATCTCCTGTGGATTCAAAACCGACATCTGCAGATGATTCTGAAGATAAATTTGATCAAAAGAAACCAACAGCTATTGACTCGAAGCCCTCGATGCTTCCACAATTTTCTGAATTACCAGAATTTCTAGACAAATCGGACAAACCAAAATCTCCTGTAGATTCGAAAACATCTCCCATTAAACCGATATCTGTAGATGATACTAAAGATGAAATTGAACTCAAGAAACCAACAGCTATTGACTCGAAACCTGCGATTCCTCCACAATATTCTGATTTACCAGAATCTCTAGACAAATCGGACGAACCAAAATCTCCTGTAGATTCGAAAACATCTCCCAATAAACTGACATCTGTAGACGATACAAAAGATGAAATTGAACTCAAGAAACCAACAGTTAGTGACTCGAAGCCTTTGATGCCTACACAATTTTCTGATTTACCAGAATCTCTAGACAAATCGGACAAACCTAAATCTCCTGTGGATTCAAAGATATCTCCCATTAAACCGATATCTGCAGATGATTCTGAAGATAAACTTGATCAAAAGAAACCAACAGCTATTGACTCGAAGCCTTCGATGCTTCCACAATTTTCTGAATTACCACAATCTCTAGACAAATCGGACGAACCAAAATCTCCTGTAGATTCGGAAACATCTCCCAATAAACTGACATCTGTAGACGATACTAAAGATGAAATTGAACTCAAGAAACCAACAGTTAGTGACTCGAAGCCTTTGATGCTTCCACAATTTTCTGATTTACCAGAATCTCTAGACAAATCGGACAAACCTAAATCTCCTGTGGATTCAAAGATATCTCCCATTAAACCGACATCTGCAGATGATTCTGAAGATAAATTTGATCAAAAGAAACCAACAGCTATTGACTCGAAGCCTTCGATGCTTCCACAATTTTCTGAATTTCCAGAATCTCTAGACAAATCGGACAAACCAAAATCTCCTGTAGATTCGAAAACATCTTCTGCTAAACCTGCAGATGATTCAGAAGATGAAATTGAAATCGAGAAACCAACAGCTATTGACTCGAAACCTTCGATGCTTCCACAATTTTCTGAATTACCAGAATCTCTAGACAAATCGGACAAACCAAAATCTCCTGTAGATTCGAAAATATCTCCTGCAAAACCTGCAGATGATTCAGAAGATGAAATTGAAATCGAGAAACCAACAGCTATTGACTCGAAAAGTTCGATGCCTCCACAACATTCTGAATTACCAGAATCTCTAGACAAATCGGACAAACCAAAATCTCCTGTAGATTCGAAAACATCTCCTGCAAAACCTGCAGATGATTCAGAAGATGAATTTGAAATCAAGAAATCAACAGTTATTGACTCGAAGCCTTCGAAGCTTCCACAATATTCTGAATTACCAGAATCTCTATACAAATCGGACAAACCAAAATCTCCTGCAGATTCGAAAACATCTCCTGCTAAACCTGCAGACGATTCTGAAGATGAATTTGAAATCAAGAAACCAACAGCTATTGACTCGAAGCCTTCGAAGCTTCCACAATTTTCTGAATTACCAGAATCTCTAGACAAATCGGACAAACCAAAATCTCCTGTAGATTCGAAAACATCTCCTGCTAAACCTGCAGATGATTCTGAAGATGAATTTGAAATCAAGAAACCAACAGATATTGACTCGAAACCTTCGATTCCTCCACAATTTTCTGATTTACCAAAATCTCTAGACAAATCGGACAAACCAAAATCTCCTGTGAATTCGAAAATGTCTCCCATTAAACCGACATCTTTTGATGATTCTGAAGATGAAATTGAATCTGAAGATGTATTTGAACTAAGGCAACCAACTGCTATTGATGCGAAGCCTTCGATGCTTCCACAATTTTCTGAATTATTAAAATCTCTAGACAAATCGGACAAACCAAAATCTCCTGTAGATTCGAAAACATCTCTCATTAAACTGACATCTGCAGATGATTCTGAAGATGAATTTGAACTAAAGAAACCAACAGCTACTGACTCGATGCATTCGACGCTTCCACAATTTTCTGAATTACCAGAATCTCTAGACAAATCGGGCAAACCAAAATCTCCTGTAGATTCGAAAACATCTCCTGTAAAACCTGCAGATGATTCAGAAGATGAAATTGAAATCGAGAAACCAAAAGCTATTGACTCGAAACCTTCGATGCTTCCACAATTTTCTGAATTACCAGAATCTCTAGACAAATCGGACAAACTAAAATCTCCTGTAGATTCGGAAACATCTCCTGCTAAACCTGCAGATGATTCTGAAGATGAATTTGAAGTCAGGAAACCAACAGCTATTGATTCTCTAGACAAATCGGATAAGCCAAAATCTCCTGTATATTCGAAAACATCTCCTGCTAAACCTGCAGATGATTCTGAAGATGAATTTGAAATCAAGAAATCAACAGTTATTGACTCGAAGCCTTCGAAGCTTCCACAATATTCTGAATTACCAGAATCTCTAGACAAATCGGACAAACCCAAATCTCACGTAGATTCGAAAACATCTCCTGCTAAACCTGCAGGTGATTCTGAAGATGAATTTGAAATCATGAAACCAACAGCTATTGATTCGAAGCCTTCGATGCTTCCACAATTTTCTGAATTACCAGAATCTCTAGACAAATCGGACAAACCAAAATCTCCTGTAGATTCGAAAACATCTCCTGCAGATGATTCAGAAGATGAAATTGAAATCGAGAAACCAACAGCTATTGACTCGAAACCTTCGATGCTTCCACAATTTTCTAAATTACCAGAATCTCTAGACAAATCGGACAAACCAAAATCTCCTGTAGATTTAAAAACATCTCCTGCTAAACCTGCAGATGATTCTGAAGATGAATTTGAAATCAAGAAACCAACAGCTATTGACTCGGAACCTTCGATTCCTCCACAATATTCTGATTTACCAGAATCTCTAGACAAATCGGACAAGCCAATATCTCCTGTATATTCGAAAACATCTCCTGCTAAACCTGCAGATGATTCTGAAGATGAATTTGAAATCAAGAAACCAACAGTTATTGACTCGAAGCCTTCGAAGCTTCTACAATATTCTGAATTACCAGAATCTCTAGACAAATCGGACAAACCAAAATCTCACGTAGATTCGAAAACATCTCCTGCTAAACCTGCAGGTGATTCTGAAGATGAATTTGAAATCATGAAACCAACAGCTATTGATTCGAAGCCTTCGATGCTTCCACAATTTTCTGAATTACCAGAATCTCTAGACAAATCGGATAAACCTAAATCTCCTGTAGATTCGAAAACATCTCCTGCAAAACCTGCAGATGATTCAGAAGATAAAATTGAAAACGAGAAACCAACAGCTATTGACTCGAAACCTTCGATGCTTCCACAATTTTCTGAATTACCAGAATCTCTAGACAAATCGGACAAACTAAAATCTCCTGTAGATTCGAGAACATCTCCTGCTAAACCAGCAGATTATTCTGAAGATGAATTTGAAATCAAGAAACCAACAGCTATTGACTCGAAGCCTTCGATGCTTCCACAATTTTCTGAATTACCAGAATCTCTAGACAAATCGGACAAGCCAATATCTCCTGTATATTCGAAAACATCTCCTGCTAAACCTGCAGATGATTCTGAAGATGAATTTGAAATCAAGAAACCAACAGCTATTGGCTCGAAGCCTTCGATGCCTCCACAATTTTCTGATTTACCAAAATCTTTAGACAAATCGGACAAACCAAAATCTCCTGTGAATTCGAAAATGTCTCCCATTAAACCGACATCTTTTGATGATTCTGAAGATGAAATTGAATCTGAAGATGTATTTGAACTAAGGCAACCAACTGCTATTGATGCGAAGCCTTCGATGCTTCCACAATTTTCTGAATTACCAGAATCTCTAGACAAATCAGACAAAGCAAAATCACCTGTAGATTCGAAAACATCTCTCATTAAACTGACATCTGCAGATGATTCTGAAGATGAATTTGAACTAAAGAAACCAACAGCTACTGACTCGATGCATTCGATGCTTCCACAATTTTCTGAATTACCAGAATCTCTAGACAAATCAGATAAACCAAAATCTCCTGTAGATTCGAAAACATCTCCCATTAAACCGATATCTGTAGATGATACTAAAGATGAAATTGAACTCAAGAAACCAACAGCTATAGACTCGAAACCTTCGATTCCTCCACAATATTCTGATTTACCAGAATATCTAGACAAATCGGACGAACCAAAATCTCCTGTAGATTCGAAATCATCTCCCAATAAACCGACATCTGAAGACGATACTAAAGATGAAATTGAACTCAAGAAACCAACAGTTAGTGACTCGAAGCCTTTGATGCCTCCACAATTTTCTGATTTACCAGAATCTCTAGACAAATCGGACAAACCTAAATCTCCTGTGGATTCAAAGATATCTCCCATTAAACCGAAAACTGCAGATGATTCTGAAGATAAATTTGATCAAAAGAAACCAACAGCTATTGACTCGAAGCCTTCGATGCTTCCACAATTTTCTGAAATACCAGAATCTCTAGACAAATCGGACAAACCAAAATCTCCTGTAGATTCGAAAACATCTCCTGCAAAACCTGCAGATGATTCAGAAGATGAAATTGAAATCGAGAAACCAACAGCTATTGACTCGAAACCTTCGATGCTTCCACAATTTTCTGAATTACCAGAATCTCTAGACAAATCGGACAAACCAAAATCTCCTGTAGATTCGAAAACATCTCCTGCTAAACCTGCAGATGATTCTGAAGATGAATTTGAAATCAAGAAACCAACAGCTATAAACTCGAAGCCTTCGATGCTTCCACAATTTTCTAAATTACCAGAATCTCTTGACAAATCGGACAAACCAAAATCTCACGTAAATTCGAAAACATCTCCTACTAAACCTTCAGATGATTCTGAAGATGAATTTGAAATCATGAAACCAACAGCTATGGATTCGAAGCCTTCGATGCTTCCACAATTTTCTGAATTACCAGAATCTCTAGACAAATCGGACAAACCAAAATCTCCTGTGAATTCGAAAACATCTCCCATTAAACCGATATCTGTAGATGATACTGAAGATGAAATTGAACTCAAGAAACCAACAGCTATTGACTCGAAACCTTCGATTCCTCCACAATATTCTGATTTACCAGAATCTCTAGACAAATCGGACGAACCAAAATCTCCTGTAGATTCGAAAACATCTCCCAATAAACTGACATCTGTAGACGATACTAAAGATGAAATTGAACTCAAGAAACCAACAGTTAGTGACTCGAAGCCTTTGATGCCTTCACAATTTTCTGATTTACCAGAATCTCTAGACAAATCGGACAAACCTAAATCTCCTGTGGATTCAAAGATATCTCCCATTAAACCGACATCTGCAGATGATTCTGAAGATAAATTTGATCAAAAGAAACCAACAGCTATTGACTCGAAGCCTTCGATGCTTCCACAATTTTCTGAATTACCAGAATCTCTAGACAAATCGGACAAACCAAAATCTCCTGTAGATTCGAAAACATCTTCTGCTAAACCTGCAGATGATTCAGAAGATGAAATTGAAATCGAGAAACCAACAGCTATTGACTCGAAACCTTCGATGCTTCCACAATTTTCTGAATTACCAGAATCTCTAGACAAATCGGACAAACCAAAATCTCCTGTAGATTCGAAAACATCTCCCATTAAACCGATATCTGTAGATGATACTAAAGATGAAATTGAACTCAAGAAACCAACAGCTATGGACTCGGAACCTTCGATTCCTCCACAATATTCTGATTTACCAGAATCTCTAGACAAATCGGACGAACCAAAATCTCCTGTAGATTCGAAAACAACTCCCAATAAACTGACATCTGTAGACGATACTAAATATGAAATTGAACTCAAGAAACCAGCAGTTAGTGACTCGAAGCCTTTGATGCTTCCACAATTTTCTGATTTACCAGAATCTCTAGACAAATCGGACAAACCTAAATCTCCTGTGGATTCAAAGATATCTCCCATTAAACCGATATCTGCAGATGATTCTGAAGATAAATTTGATCAAAAAAAACCAACAGATATTGACTCGAAGCCTTCGATGCTTCCACAATTTTCTGAATTACCACAATCTCTAGACAAATCGGACAAACCGAAAACATCTTCTGCAAAACCTGCAGATGATTCAGAAGATGAAATTGAAATCGAGAAACCAACAGCTATTGACTCGAAACCTTCGATGCTTCCACAATTTTCTGAATTACCAGAATCTCTAGACAAATCGGACAAACCAAAATCTCCTGTAGATTTAAAAACATCTCCTGCTAAACCTGCAGATGATTCTGAAGATGAATTTGAAATCAAGAAACCAACAGCTATTGACTCGGAACCTTCGATTCCTCCACAATATTCTGATTTACCAGAATCTCTAGACAAATCGGACGAACCAAAATCTCCCGTAGGTTCGAAAACATCTCCCAATAAACTGACATCTGTAGACGATACTAAATATGAAATTGAACTCAAGAAACCAGCAGTTAGTGACTCGAAGCCTTTGATGCTTCCACAATTTTCTGATTTACCAGAATCTCTAGACAAATCGGACAAACCTAAATCTCCTGTGGATTCAAAGATATCTCCCATTAAACCGATATCTGCAGATGATTCTGAAGATAAATTTGATCAAAAGAAACCAACAGCTATTGACTCGAAGCCTTCGAAGCTTCCACAATTTTCTGAATTACCAGAATCTCTAGACAAATCGGACAAACCACAATCTCCTGTAGATTCGAAAACATCTCCTGCTAAACCTTCAGATGATTCTGAAGATGAATTTGAAAAAAAGAAACCAACAGCTATTGACTCGAAGCCTTCGATGCCTCCACAATTTTCTGATTTACCAAAATCTCTAGACAAATCGGACAAACCAAAATCTCCTGTGAATTCGAAAATGTCTCCCATTAAACCGACATCTTTTGATGATTCTGAAGATGAAATTGAATCTGAAAATGTATTTGAACTAAGGCAACCAACCGCTATTGATGCGAAGCCTTCGACGCTTCCACAATTTTCTGAATTACCAGAATCTCTAGACAAATCGGACAAACCAAAATCTCCTGTAGATTCGAAAACATCTCTCATTAAACTGACATCTGCAGATGATTCTGCAGATGAATTTGAACTAAAGAAACCAACAGCTACTGACTCGACGCATTCGATGCTTCCACAATTTTCTGAATTACCAGAATCTCAAAACAAATCAGATAAACCAAAATCTCCTGTAGATTCGAAAACATCTCCCATTAAACCGATATCTGTAGATGATACTGAAGATGAAATTGAACTCAAGAAACCAACAGCTATTGACTCGAAACCTTCGATTCCTCCACAATATTCTGATTTACCAGAATCTCTAGACAAATCGGACGAACCAAAATCTCCTGTAGATTCGAAAACATCTCCCAATAAACTGACATCTGTAGACGATACTAAAGATGAAATTGAACTCAAGAAACCAACAGTTAGTGACTCGAAGCCTTTGATGCCTTCACAATTTTCTGATTTACCAGAATCTCTAGACAAATCGGACAAACCTAAATCTCCTGTGGATTCAAAGATATCTCCCATTAAACCGACATCTGCAGATGATTCTGAAGATAAATTTGATCAAAAGAAACCAACAGCTATTGACTCGAAGCCTTCGATGCTTCCACAATTTTCTGAATTACCAGAATCTCTAGACAAATCGGACAAACCAAAATCTCCTGTAGATTCGAAAACATCTTCTGCTAAACCTGCAGATGATTCAGAAGATGAAATTGAAATCGAGAAACCAACAGCTATTGACTCGAAACCTTCGATGCTTCCACAATTTTCTGAATTACCAGAATCTCTAGACAAATCAGACAAACCAAAATCTCCTGTATATTCGAAAACATCTCCTGCTAAACCTGCAGATGTTTCTGAAGATGAATTTGAAATCAAGAAACCAACAGCTATTGACTCGAAGCCTTCGAAGCTTCCACAATTTTCTGAATTACCAGAATCTCTAGACAAATCGGACAAACCAAAATCTCCTGTTGATTCGAAAACATCTCCTGCTAAACCTGCAGATGATTCTGAAGATGAATTTGAAATCAAGAAACCAACAGCTATTGACTCGAAGCCTTCGATGCCTCCACAATTTTCTGATTTACCAAAATCTCTAGACAAATCGGACAAACCAAAATCTCCTGTGAATTCGAAAATGTCTCCCATTAAACCGACATCTTTTGATGATTCTGAAGATGAAATTGAATCTGAAGATGTATTTGAACTAAGGCAACCAACTGCTGCTGATGCGAAGCCTTCGATGCTTCCACAATTTTCTGAATTACCAGAATCTCTAGACAAATCGGACAAAGCACTATCTCCTGTAGATTCGAAAACATCTCTCATTAAACTGCCATCTGCAGATGATTCTGAAGATGAATTTGAACTAAAGAAACCAACAGCTACTGACTCAATGCATTTGACGCTTCCACAATTTTCTGAATTACCAAAATCTCTAGACAAATCAGATAAACCAAAATCTCCTGTAGATTCGAAAACATCTCCCATTAAACCGATATCTGCAGATGATAATAAAGATGAAATTGAACTCAAGAAACCAACAGCTATTGACTCGAAACCTTCGATGCCTCCACAATATTCTGAATTACCAGAATCTCTAGACAAATCGGACAAACCAAAATCTCCCGTAGATTCGAAAACATCTCCTGCAAAACCTGCAGATGATTCAGAAGATGAAATTGAAATCGAGAAACCAACAGCTATTGACTCGAAACCTTCGATGCTTCCACAATTTTCTGAATTACCAGAATCTCTAGACAAATCGGACAAACCAAAATCTCCTGTAGATTCGAAAACATCTCCTGCTAAACCTGAAGATGATTCTGAAGATGAATTTAAAATCAAGAAACCAACAGCTATTGACTCGAAGCCTTCGATGCTTCCACAATTTTCTGAATTACCAGAATCTCCAGACAAATCGGACAAACTAAAATCTCCTGTAGATTCGAGAACATCTCCTGCTAAACCAGCAAATTATTCTGAAGATGAATTTGAAATCAAGAAACCAACAGCTATTGACTCGAAGCCTTCGATGCTTCCACAATTTTCTGAATTACCAGAATCTCTAGACAAATCGGACAAACCAAAATCTCCTGTAGATTCGAAAACATCTCCTGCTAAACCTGCAGATGATTCTGAAGATGAATTTGAAATCAAGAAACCAACAGCTATTGACTCGAAGCCTTCGATGCTTCCACAATTTTCTGAATTACCAGAATCTCTAGACAAATCGGACAAACCAAACTCTCCTGTAGATTCGAAAACATCTCCCTTTAAGCCGATATCTGTAGATGATACTAAATATGAGATTGAACTCATGAAACCAACAGCTATTGACTCGAAGCCTTCGATGCTTCCACAATTTTCGGAACTACCAGAATCTCTAGACAAATCGGACAAACCAAAGTCTCCCGTAGATTCGAAAACATCTCCTGCTAAACCTGCAGATGATTCTGAAGATCAATTTGAAATCAAGAAACCAACAGCTATTGACTCGAAGCCTTCGATGCCTCCACAATTTGCTGAATTACCAGAATCTCTAGACAAATCGGACAAACCAAACTCTCCTGTAGTTTCGAAAACATCTCCCATTAAACCGATATCTGTAGATGATGCTAAATATGAAATTGAATTCATGAAACCAACAGCTATTGACTCGAAACCTTCGATGCTTCCACAATTTTCTGAATTACCAGAATCTCTAGACAAATCGGACAAACCAAAATCTCCTGTAGATTTGAAAACATCTCCTGCCAAACCTGCAGATGATTCTGAAGATGAATATGAAATCAGGAAACCAACAGCTATTGACTCGAAGCCTTCGATTCGTCCCCAATTTTCTGATTTACCAGAATCTCTTGACAAATCGGACAAACCAAAATCTCCTGCAGATTCGAAAACATCTCTCATTAGACCGACATCTCTAGGTGATTCTGAAGTTGAAATTGAACTAAAGAAACCAACAGCTATTGACTCGAAGCCTTCGATTACTACACAATTTTCTGAATTACAAGAATCTCTAGACAAATCAGACAAACCAAAATCTCCAACAGATTCGAAAACATCTGCCGTTAAACCGACATCTGCAGATGATTCTGAAGATGAATTTGTGCTAAAGAAACCGGCAGCTTTTGACTCGAAGCCTTCGATGCCTCCACAATTTTCTGATTTACCAGGGTCTCTTGAAAAATCGGAAAAGCCAAAATCTCTTGTAGATTCGCAAAAGTCATCCGTTGAACCAACATCTTTTGATGATTCTGAAGATAAATTTGAATTAAAGAATCCAACAGCTATTGACTCAAAGCCTTCGATGCCTCCACAGCTTTCTGATTTACCACAATCTCTTGACAAATCGGACAAACCAAAATCTTCTCTTGAATTATCTACAACATCTGTAGAAAATATACCAAAATCTCCTCCAGATTCGAACAAATCTTTAGGATTACCGATTCTAACTGATGTTGCAGATAAACCTAAACCTCCAGTGTTCAAAGAAAATCTTACCATTAGGCCTTATTCGGATGATGAAACTGAAGATGAAGTTGATGGCAATCTGCCAGTTTGGCGTAGCCCAGAACAGTCATTAGATAATTTTATTTCAGTTTTGTCAAGAATTGCTAGTGAATCCGACAAATCTAACGGTAGTAAATCGATTTCTCCATCGTCTATTAAGCCTTATTCAGATGATGATTCTGAGGATGAGATTTGCGTGGAAGTACGTACTAGGTATAGCCCCAAAAATAGATTATCTCCTCTAATGAGTACATCTATTTCAAGCGCTAACGCGCTGCCTCGTAGTGACGTTCTAAAGTCCCCTCTAAAACCATATTCTGATGATGAATCGGAAGACGAAGTGTTATTGAATAAGTCAAATAGTTCAAGTCCAATATATCGTAAAAATTATCTTATGGACGCGAAATATATATCACAAAAACCCACATCGCCAACTATTGCACCAAAGTCGCCACTAAAGCCTTATTCAGATGATGAGTCGGGCGATGAAATGGAGTCAGAAAGCATTATAAAGTATTCGGATAGAAAATCTATAAATGATGTGATGACATCATCAGCTATGAAATCTACTGAAAATGATAGTTTGGTTTACTCAACCAGTCCATTAGATATTTGCAAGCCATCTTATGATACTCCCAAATTACAACAAAAGCCTTATTCCGGTGATGTATATATTGATGATTTAGAAAACTTGAATTCATTAACGTCACTCTCTCCAAAACATCCTAAATATATTTCAGAAGAAACACATAAAGATTCTGACACATCACAAATAATTATTAAAGATACTGAACATATTTCAAGTCCTACTCTGTCAAATGCAGTTGATACTGTTTTTGAAAGTGAAAAACTTTCAAACACTGACAAAACTAAAACTCGTGCAGTTGCTTATTTCGTAGACTTGGACGAAGGTGATAAATCAAAATCTCATCATTCTAGACCAAATATACACCAAAAACAAGATTATGATAAAAAATTAAAAATAAGTAAACCTAAATTAGATACAAAATCTTCTGTAAAACCTAGGGAAATACCTTTAACTAGCAAGAAGACTTACTCAAAAAGAACTACTATTTCCGAAACTTCTCCTAAAATTCAGAAAAGTACAACTCAAACAAGCATTAGAGAAATGAAAACAACCCAACGATTATCCAAAAGAAATAACATGGAGAGTTCCGTTACAAATCTAAAGCCTCGCAAAGATATTAAGAAAACTGTTGTTAACGATTATGAGAGAATAATATCTGACAAAACAAAAATTTCCGCTTTAAATAATCAAATACGTTTAGAAAGAACATTAAGTCCTCAAACAAATCCTAGTTTCTCTGAAAATGTACAGTCTAGAAGTCGTAGCACTACCCCTAGACCTAGAATCCGAACTGATATTACTAGAGTTCCTCAGCAACAAACGCTTAGAACATTTAGTCCACCAGCTAACCGACCTAAACCGGACTATTCTTCTATTACAAGTACATATGCATATACTAGAAAAACACAAAAAACCACAAAGTCTGTTGTCAGGAAACAGACCGACCATTCACCAAGCTCAAGAAGCTCGACACCAAATGACGATTCACAAAGAAGACGCTTAAGAACGCCGACAGTTCCGATTGGAGAACATCATTACATGCAACCAACAATTGCACATAGCAGGCGTTATGGAAATCTGAAATCAGCAGATAGTGAACTTAGTTTAGATGAAAAGTTTTCAAAGTCTCCAGTTCCTCAAATTGCAGCCACCACAAATAAAAACACATTTCAAAGTAAACAAACAAAACCTCAATCGGGAACTCGAAAAATGCAAACGAACAAAATCAATAGTAATAGTAGGGAATCATTAAGATCTATAGAAACAAAAACTAAAATTTCTATTGAGCGCACGAAATCAACAGCAGATACTAAACAAAAATCTACTACAAAACGAGCCCGAAACTTGTATATCAAAGACAACAGTTTGAAAAGTACGATTGACAAATCCGATAGTTTAACAAAGTCAGCTATAATTGAGCAAGTCAGCAATGTACGTTATAATCGACAAATCTCAAAAGAAAAGGCGGTCGACAAGAAAAAAATTACCTCGAAGTCCACAACAAAGAGAGAAGACTCCAAACTATCATCCGAAGATACTAACAGATTAAAAGACCGTGATGGTTCGACAACAAATCAAAAGCGAATTACGAATGCATCATCCAAAGTTCCAATTAGAACAAAAACAAATAGAGTTCCAGATGAGAAAGTTAATAAATTAGAACTTAAAGCGAAAGTTGACCAAAAACAAAGCACGGTGAAACGAAATACCACAAAGAAACTTGACACCACGAAAGATAAATTGGTGCAAAGTAAAAATATTGATCTGAAAGTACAAAAGAAACTTAAGAACACACTCAACAATCAAGCGGGCTCAACTCCTAAATCTTCCCCAACAATGTCTCATTCTTCTTACAGTTCTCGCAAATCAACATCTACATCTGCAACAACAACAACTACCTCAAAAAATAGCCAGTCTACAAATAAAATTGAGAAAGAATTACTCAATAGTAAGTTAGCTGAGAAAAAGTCATTTACAACAACCGTCACCTCCTCGGGCACCAATAGAATTTCAACCGTAAAACTCCATCGCGAACCAATAGCCACTACTCTTGTAAGTACGGTCGTAATAACCGATGACAATGACTCGGAAAACAATACACGATCTGTACGTTCCAATGATAGCACAAAGAGCTCCAGTTCATCTGGTAGTCGAAAGGTAATAACAAGTGAAGTCTTCACCAAGACATTTGGTCCCGATAAACCATTCGAAGTAATATACCGTCAGCCCGAAGTAGATTACATGAGCATAATGCGTCCTCAGTCAGTTGAACAACGTTGTGTCAACGAATACGATGTTAGTTTCATTGATACAACCGATTCAAGTCTCTCCGATTCGGTGGCATTGCCAACATTTACATCTGATCAAGATCGCTTGTGCGCTGCCAGTCCTGGTTCACCTAAACCCACACGCAGCCCCTTTGCTCTAATAGAGGAGACAATACGCAAACAGCAAGCCAGTGGTTTTGCACTGGATCCCACATTGCAAAGACAATTTGAAGCAGTGGGCATGATTGGATCGGAATCTGAAAGCCCTATGACAACGTCTATAGTTAACGACAACGATCTGCAAAAGCAAGGTAAAGTTTTCAAATATTTGCAAACACAATCTAACTAAGATATCGATCACATTTTACTATTAATATTCTTCTTATTATTATTATTATTATTATTATTATTATTATTATTATTATTATTATTATTATTATTATTATTATTATTATTATTATTATTATTATTATTATTATTATTATTATTATTATTATTATTATTATTATCGATGTATATACATATAATAAGTATTTATCGATTTAAGTACAAACAGTTTTATTTATTTTTTGGTTTCTATTTACTTATTAATTAAATTGATACACACCATAGTTATTTTAACAATGTCTGAAATTATAAATATCTATTTTCTGCCGAAGGAAAGTTATATTTTAAGTATTTCAAATAAACTCGTAAATAATCCTTATTTGTATCTATATGTAGGTACTCCATAAGTATGCATTTATATATCTAGAAATATATATATTATTTATGTTGTCTACACACTTTGTTAAAACGTATGTAAATTCCAATTGTATTTAAGAAATTTCTAATTATTTTTCAGAAATTTATATTAGAATTTTCAAGTAAATTTTCTGAAATACAAATAGAAAATTCGGAAATACAATTAGAAATTTCTGAAATATATTTGGAATATTCTGAAATAAATATGGAAAATTCTGATATACAACTAGAAGTTTCTAAATGCAATTAGAATTTTGTGAAATATAATTAGAAATATCTGAAATATTATTGGAATTTTCTGAAATTGAATTAGAAATTTCGAAAATATTATGTTTAAATATATTTTATATATCTGAAACATAATTAGAAATTCCTAAAATGTAATTATAAATTTCTGAAATCGCGGAAATCGTGTAGTATTTCAGAATACTATATAATAATGAATACTTCCCAAAACGAACTTTAATAAACCCCTTCAATCCAAATAAGTTTCATATACAAAAATATAAGTACAAAATTTCATTATGATCGGTCCATATTTGATATAAATAAATCTCTTAAATTCCATCTTAATTGTTTTATAAAAATCTAACCTTGAGAAAAGATTAATAATTAAAATTTATACAGGGCTTGATTTGAATACCTACATACATATATAAGTACAGTATGCATCGCTTAGTAAAATATAACCTGAAAGTGCAATTGTTTTGTTCATTAATATTTAATTTCGAATTTCGAAATATTAAGGATTAGTAAACGAGTTTTAAAGAAATAATTTAAATATATCCCACTTTAAATGACATGACAACTTCTAATTTTATGTAATGAAGTTCACAAGATTACTTTAACAACTTCCTTCGGCGTAATGAAACAATTATTTGCTCGCCATTTTCTATTCTATAATCATTTTATTTATTTGTTTTTTTCCCCGAAAAATTCACATAGAAAATCATTGAAAGTACACAACACAACAATTCTAAAAGTTTTCCACTAAAAGCAACACAATTAGTACAAAAATTCCCAAAAACGAAAAAAATTAATAATAAATACCGATATCAATATGTCCACAAATATACCAAAAATATCAGTTACTGCTGAGTCTCATTCTTCGAATAACTATCAACACCACCACACATCATCTTCGTCCAATTCTGAGGATAATTCCGATTCATATAGTAATGATATGGACTATAATCAAAATTTTGGAGGTGGTGTGACCGATGTTGAAGATTTTGATAGTTACGCAGATATAGAGAGACCTCGATCAAGAAGATCATCGAAGAATAGCGTGGCAATAACGAAAGGCTTACCAGATACTCAAGGCGACGTGACTGATGTTGAAGATTATAATGATAGCGATTTAGGTGAAGAGGATGATAAAAGTGTAGTTTATCCCGAGTTAAAGGTTTCGCTGCGGGAGTTTTTGCAACATGACATTCAAGAACAAATATCGACTAGCAATGGCTTAAAGGAGATGGTAGAGCACAAATCTGGTAATTTTTTGCAAGCCCAAAATCTAAATACACTTAGCGATTATTTGACTGATTGTGAAGACTATAATACAGAGTCTGAAATAGAAAACGAATACGTGAAATCAGTATGTGTTGATTTGAATGAGACGTTTGTGGAACAAGGTCGAGTTAACATAGCGGACACGACAGTAAACACTGAAGATCACGAGGACTCCGACTATGACTACGACGAAGTTTCAGTTGTAAGTGATATAAGCAATATGGCTTCGGCTATATCCGATGTTACTGGAAAGGAATTGCATGCCATGTCTGAAGATGAAGTTCTAGAGTTATCTGGTAATGAGGAAATTTGCCAAATATCATGTTCAGATTCCGAATCTATATCACATCAAGGAAATATTTCAGAAGAAGATCTACTTAGTAGTGCTAGTATGCCACCATTAGATGTTGCATTCATTCATACCACAAATAGGACCAAGCTTATAAACGATCCATTTGTGCAAGGTGCAGTTCCGAAAGGTGGCTTTTGCAGAAAAATGTTTTTAGAAGTAAAAGAAAACAAGAAGGAGGAAGTTTTAACCGATATTGAACGATTTGATGATTCGGTGGCAGAAGGTGATGATGACGACAGTTTTGATGGTGATGATGACCAGCAACCAATTCCTCAAGCTGTCGTTATGGCTACACGTGATGAGGGCGGATGTGTCACAGATTGCGAAGACATGTTTTGTGACGATATGTCCGAAACAGCAGCATCTGACAACGAAGCTCCACATTCTGTTGACCTGAACGCCATACCGCTACCGCAAAGAGAGGTTGTAATGCTTCAAGAAAACAAATTTGGAGACACCATTACCAGTGTAATGCCAATGGATAAAGAATATCAATTTGGGATATATGCAGCTGTAAAAGATGAATGTGTAACGGATACTGAGGAATTTTCTTGTGCAGATGATTTGGATATTCAAGTATCTGGAGTTGAAATTCCATCATGTTCGCCATCTCCTTCGCCTAGCAACGTACTAGTGGAATCTGATGTTACTGTAGCAAACGAAGTGTTTAAAACTCAGCAAAGCAAACGTTTAGAGATTATATCCAATGCTGAGTCGGTCACAGATGTTGAGGAAATTTATATGGCCGGAACAAATAGTCGAAAAAAGAAATCGAAAACTCGCACCCAATCCAAAGGTAAATCTAAATTTTTAGAGACTCCAAAAACAACTACTCGAGAAGACGGCGGCGGTACTGATATCGAAGATATGGATCTTAGTGAAAGTGGTCTATCCGTCGGCGCCTTTAAATGTGTTAAGAAACTTGAAGCCAACCGCCAATCTTATCAGTCTCATTCTGAGAAAGTAACCGATGTAGAAGACATGACAGCCGATGATGTATCAGATGCTGAACTACCTCCAATAGACACGAACACTACCAACTTAAAAGATTATGAATTCAGTAGTAAAAATATTGTGGTCACATTAGAGACCTGTGGATCGGCGACATGTGCCAAGCATAACAGCCGTAAAACAGCAAATACTCATGTTTTCCGGGAAACTTGTCAAATCACACATCATAATCAACAACAGCAGCAGACAGATGTCGAAGACGTTCAATTCCCTTCAGATGCAGAAGAATTCATGAATAACAGTGAACCAACAGTTGACTGTGTTTGCAACGAATTAAGCGAAATGCTAAATGAGAGCTGTACAACAGTCCACGAAAAATGTAGCAATAGCTTCAATATCGATGCCGAGAAATTACACATAAAGGGTATGCTACGCGAATCTCACACTGACATTGAATATGTAGAGTCAGATGAATCGGCCGCTAGAGGCAGCAAATAATTTCGAATACAATAAATCCGCAACTTTAATCCAAACATTTCAATCAAATCAAATAATCATTTTTAATTCAAATCTAAAATTTATTTCAATCACAAAACCAATTCGTAAGTAAAAATTCAACGTATCGAAAGCGAAAGAAAAAAGCAAAAAAACTTTATTCTCTCGAATATGTAAATTAGCCAGAATAAAAAATTCATTCATTATTTCATGCATTCCATTATTCACTGTCGTACAGTTGTATATTGTTTTATTTACCATTAATACTACTAACCAACACATTCCAGCTAGTTTTTAAGGATTTTTATGGATACTACCACAATAAATACTAATTTCGAAAAAATGTCTTTGGATTCACATCATTAACACAATATCGTTTCGTTTACTTTTCGTTCGTACTTTGTACATCAGTTATTATCTAACCATAATTTATTTTGTTATAATTTCAGTTAAGTAACTTGATAGAAATTTCGTTACTGTTAAAATCGTCTATTTATATTTTATATCGTTTGATTTTATTGATATTTATGTATAAATGTATGTGTTTATCATATAAAATTGCCTATAACTGTAATTAATAATTCTTCTTTTCATTTTCTCTCTCTCTCTCTCTATTTCACGCGAATACTTGTTATTCAATTACAGAAACCCTGCAAACATACATTCCCGAACCACAACCAATTGTATCTGTCGAAGCAATTGCAACACAAGGTGAGTTTATATTTCGACATTTTCTTAAAACCTTCCAACATACACACATATGTTAATATGTTTAATTCATGATCTATTGTATGAGTTGTAAGTTGTCTGATATTTGTTTTTAATATATCGTAAATACATTAGGACTGGAAATGTTGGTACTACAATTTGTATGATAGATTGTCTATTAAATATAGTTTTTCATTTCGCTATTTTGTAGATTAAAATTTTTGTTAAATGCTGTTTTCGCTTGAAATGTTTAATTTATTGTAAATAGTTTAATAACATTAAACATTCATATGTAAATATTTATTATTTTTGTATAATTATGCATATTGCTTGTAGTTTTAATTTTATTTTCTAGACGCATTTAGAGCTTCATATTTATAAGTATTCTCGTTAGTTTATGTACGATAATATAAAAATGATTAATAATATAAATAATTAAATATTGTTCATAATCTACATAAAATAAGACCTTAATTTAATTAATAATTTATGGTTTCTTGAAACTGTACAATTTGAATATTACAATTGACATAAAAAGGTATTTTATAGCGCACATACAGTATTGTTCAAAACTTATGCAATTTTTCCTGATAAATATAATATATACTATTTAAAGTAGCTTATGCAAAATAGCATACATTATTTTTTATTATATTATGTGTAAAATAATAATAATAATCAAAAAATATTAATGTATTAAAATTATCTCATAAAATGTTGTTCGAAACTTAAGAAATGTTGAGATCAAGCACTTTAAATGAGCTCAATACTTCGTTTTAGAATAGATTCATTAATGATTTCCACACTAACTGTAAAATAAATTAGGGCCGCTTCCGAAATCCATTATAATATTCTAAGAATATAAGTTTATATCTGGCCCAAGACTATATAAATATACCATCTGAATATCTGTTTCAAATTTCATATAATGAATCATAATTAGATGTAGGCCCTTTTGCCTTGGCAAAATAGTTTTATAATATGTATATAGTTTAGTTTAGTTTTTTAAGAGACTAATGGGTATGTTATCTATAGCAACCGAACTTAGTTGAGTTGTCAGTTGCCAAAATGAAATTACAGATGGCAACTGCCAAAAAACAGCTGCAAATATCAGTTGCCAAATTGACAACTAGAAATTTTGTTTTGAAACTTTTCAAAACTTTTGGCCATGATTTTCAAAACTATTTTTAAAACAAAATCCTAAGAACTACATTACTTGGAGAGAATATGTTAGGTTCTATAGAAGTTGAAGCTCCCCAAATTGAAGTGGTTCGGTTATCATTTCTATTAGTGGTTGTTAACTTGATTAAAAGGATTTTCAATGTGCACTTCACTTCTGAATTTATTTCATAACTTTTTCACAAATTCAACTTTAATTTAAAATTACATCTTTTATTATTTGTTTACATTTTTCAGTTGCTAGTCTGTCAAAATAACCACAGATGACACAATATCGATAATTTTATGATAACTAATGAAAGTTGCCATTCATAATATCAATTTTTATGCAGTTGCGTTGACTGCTGATTGAAGTGTGTTTGCTATCAATAATCGACCGTTTTAACCTTATCATTTGATCCAGCTCACTAAATATTCGTAACAGAACAAACAATTCTAAATAATGATCTTAAAAAATCATATGAATTCTTATGTTTTTTTTTTTTTTTTTTGAGTTTTGAGGCCACCCTATTAATAGTATACATACATATGTATTATATATTTTATTTTTATCTGGCATAGGTTTTAGACCGCAGACTCAAGTTATTTTTCTCTCAGTGACAGTACCACGTACAAATATTCTTTATGAGGATTTTTACTAAAATGTGTAAATATTTATAATAAAATAAATGCTTTTTGAAATATATTTTTTAAATCACATCAGCATAATTACTAATTTTCATTCTTTTGAGTAAAAACACAAACATTTATCATTACAACACCATTAAATCATCACTAACACCACCATCACCATCGGCCGCAACAACTACTACTTATTTAATTTAAATATATTAATAAATTAAATGTATTTGTAATTTGATTATTTTTAATTTTTGTGGTATAAATTTATTTTAAAAATATATGATCTTGGAAAAGAATTACAAATTAAACAAGTAACGCTTAATACAATGTTCACATTAGTAAAATATTTCACGGAATAAATGTAAAAACTCTTATACCAAATCTTGATTTAATCTTGACTTTGATTTTTTAGTCAATATCATTTTCTTATTTACTATAATTCAAAACTATAGCTACTTAGTTTATGATTAAAAAAAAATTTAAATTTCGAAATTTGAATGTTCACTAGGGTTATAACTCATTTTTTACAAAAATCTTACCTATCATTATTTGATAGGCCATACTTATTAAATAAAAAAATCGGTCCATAAATATCGAAGATATGATTAAAATTCCCAAAAAAAATTAATTTTCGTATATGATTTGACATATCTTCGATGTAATTTCGAGAATCAAATTAAATTCCTAATACTATAGAATTAAAACTTCACTTTTCTTATAAATCTCGTGCCACAGAATCAATAATGTCATCTGTAGCTTGACTCTACATAAACAAATTAAAATTTTGAACTGCGCTTGTTTCACCAGATTTGGTATACATATACTACATACATACTTATTTATGTATGTTGTTAATATTACTAGAACTCTAAATTATTTAATAACTGAGGTTTGGATTTAGAAACGGGTCCGGATGCTACATCTATCCTGAACAGATTTTATTAATTATATATTTTTCTTGTTGTTGTTTTTTCGTTTAATTTCCATTGCACATTTCATTTGCAAATATTTCTTACTAATATCGTTAATTTAACATACAATGCGCGTGATTTAAACGTGTTTTTCTTTCTCTTAATTGCGTTTATTAAGTTTTAAATTTTTTTCTTTCAATAAAATTATTTTATTCAAAATATAATATTGAAAAACGCCCAAGCGAAACAATAAAAACCAAATGTGCAATTGTTTTCCAGGCATTTTAAAATATGAAAAAGAAATTGAGAAATATGTGAAAGATGATGATGATGGTGATAAGAAAGACCGTGATGATCATGTTGACGATGATGAGGACGACGAGGAAGAGGACGATGACTATGAGCATGAACATGACAAATCTGTAATTGATACCGATTCCATAATGGCAAAATCACTATCGTCGAATGTTGAAAATGTGCGCCGTGAAGCAACCGTTTTAGTTGACAATGTTCTTGAAGAGAGTATTCAGTTTGTCAATGAACAACAAGATCGTGATCATATTGAAACGTACAATGTTGTTGTTGACAATAATGCTAGAGCGGAATATAATTCCGAAAGTGAAAATTATGCCATAACATGCGATGACGTTGACGGCTTGGATGTCATTAAGTCACCAACAATTGAATCAATGTCGGGCAAATCTTTCGATGACAATTTGAGTTTTACGGACGAACACATTGCAACAGTTGCTGGTCCATCGGCAACAACAACAACAACCTTAACAACATATTCCGTACAACAAACACAAGAAAAAAACCAAATGTTACCACAAGATGGTGATGAAATGTGTGGAACTAAATTCACAACTACTCAAACATCTGTGGCACAAGGTAAAAACACAATTTGTTAGTATATATGAACAATATCTTTGTTCGTTCAGAAATTCAGTCAGAATCAGAAAATTTAATACAAATACACAATATACAAATGTACTCTTAACACGTACACATCTACACACACAATCCCATATAGATCCATTTTAAATAAACAATTCTGAAAAATAGTGATCTGAAATATGTTAGTTTTTCTTTATTAGTAGTTATGTTAGTATTAATTTAAAGTGTAAATATAAAAAAAAAATGTATTAGCTTATTTTTTTTTAATTAGTACATAATTCGAGATACTTATTTTAACATTGATTCCAAAATTTAAACCCTTAGACTATAGTAAATAGTTAATCAGATATATCCTATATTTAGGATGAACTTAAATATTGCGTTTTATAATAATACCCCTAAAATAAGGATTTTGTAAGCCGATGATTCGACCCTTTTTAACAATTCCTCCTAAAAGGAAAGGCTCTAAAATTTAAAAATTAAATTTGAAAAAAAACAACCGGTTTTTTCAAATGTTACCAATTTGAACTATTTGCATAATGTTGAATAATCCATCACCCTATTGCATATAGAGTATTGAAAAGTACATTGAAAAAGTATATCAAACTTTTCTGAGCATTAAAAAAGTTTCCGCGGCTTCAAATTTTAAATTTTTAATATAAACTCGAAATTTGTTATAAACAAATATCATTATTTGACCCACGACTTTTACCCGTAGAAAAGGCTTTTAAATTTAGTACCAAAACATTTAGAAAGTTTTAGCACCAAAATGACTCGAGTAAAATATTTTTGTATTGGAACACTACAGGCTACAATGTAGTGATAGGGCCTAATTTTGCTTATACCCTAATGTCATTACGGTGTTCCGTGGACCACTTTTTTGTAGGAATATCTCTCGAACAATGCGTATTAATGTACTAAAAACGAGAAAAATATTGTTTTAAAGGACCTCAGTTCCCTGCCAGCGATTGAAAATCCTTATCTCTGTACAACAAATTTAAACAATTGTTTGCAATCTTTTCGATTTTTTTTAGAATATTTTTGATCCGCAAAACGAGTTTTAGTTCATTTTAAGAGGCATATAAATTCCAAAATAATCCAAATATCGAACAAGTTTTTAATATTTTTCTGTATAAGCTAAAAATTTCGTAAATTTTCGCTATTTCGATAAAAAAAAGCGAAAAATACTTTAAATCTATTTTGCAATTTTTCCCAGTAATCAAAATATTTAAAACCAATAATGTACTGAGGTCAAAGCTTTCAATCGCTGGTAGGGAACTGAGGCCCCTATCAAAAAAAAAATTTATTTTCCTCGTGTTTTGTATATTAATACGTATCGATTGAGAGATATTACTACATTCTTAAAGGCAATTCCTCGAGACACTCTAATGTACATACTTACATACATACATATATGATCACACAAATATGTTTCTACGTAGTAAAGGTTCTGATAAACGATATACACAAGTAATTAAAATTTTTAAAAAACATGTGATAATGAAGATAATAATGATTGACATCATTTTCTTAATTAAATGGTGTCAATATTTTGCCATCGATATAATTTATTATATTTAAATTAATTAAAATTTTCCCAAATTCATTAGTTGACGATGTTTTAGAAGATCGTAGTACAATTAGAACACGACGCGTTGAACATAAATTTCAAAAAATATCATCAAATGTTCAGGACGTAGACATCGAGGCGGCAAAATTTGATGAACAATTTGAAAGTGTTGTGCCGGACGATGAGATAAGTCACTTACAAGGAGATTTTTCTAAAATAAGTTGGGATGATAGTCAATCGCCCACTACGAATACATTGGGCGATATTGGTCAAAGTACACCAGATAATGATATTCAAGAAATAGCAGCAGGTATATGCCAAAAATAAACATAAATAATAAAATAACATACATAAATATGTATTTAAGCGTAAAATAATATATTTAGCAACAAATTAGAATTTAAGTATAAGTAAATGTTTCTTATTATTTTGTAATAACGATCGAGTAATATAGTTAATATGTACATACAAACGTGCTAAATATATATACATACCCAGTACATGTAGTATATGCTATTAGTAATATGCTGTTATCTTATATATGTATAAGATATATTTATACATCATTTGAATTACAATACTGAATCAATTGTCAGATTTAAATAATATTGAGCTCTAATTGCGTAGATTCGTACATAAATGCATTTTCATAATATTTATTTATTTATTTGAGTTGTTTAATTTATTTTTTACGAGCCGTAGCATGTTTATCCTAAATAACAATATTTATTCAAAACAATTGGCATGATTGCATTAAATTTTCCTTCTATTAAGTTCAACACAAAAAGTACTTGTATTTTAAATATTCAAAATTTTAATCAAAATTGTGATTATGTTTACTTTTAGTAATACAAATATTTAGAAGATCACTCTGATCAATACTAAAAAATATGAGAATTATTCAGCCAAATATAAAAACTGAAATAATTATCGATTTCTATTGATTGAATAATTCTCTTTTATATACCAGTCTAATGTTGAAAAAGATATATATATATATATATATATATATATATATATATATATATATATATATATATATATATATATATATATATATATATATATATATAAAATACAATTATTTTCGTTTGTTCTATAACTTTTAACTCCACAACCCACTATATGTATCATAATCACCGATATTCTTATCTTATTTATTGTATACTACTTTCTTTCCTATAACTATTTATGATTTTATTTTTGAGTTTTAGTTTTTCTGTAACTTCACTACGACACGTTTTAAGATGCTTCTTTTTCTGTTCTCACAATCATTACTTTTTTGTAGAAACAAAATCCACAGACATTACACCCGTCCCACCGTCTGCAATAACAACGACATCGTCCCAGCTAAGTCATGATAATGCTGATGCTGATTTAGGCGCACTAATAGGTGATGTGCCGAAACCAAAACCCCGATCGGTAAGAATTTCTACGCCCACAGAAGATGATGAAGAAGAAAAAATGTCGTCTCAAATGCCATACGAAGCTGAAGAACAGGAAGTGTCATTTGACTTATCAGATGATGTGGATATCTCCGTAGTTCCCGTGCCGAAACCACGCTCCCAAATGAAAACATCAGATTCATTTAAGAATCTTGACACTTTAAATCAACAACAACTACAACAACATCATCAACCGTCTCAATCCGATAGTATAAGTTTACGTAGCTTCGATTACACTGAAGAAACCTCTCGAACTGATGATCCTTCGGTGTCTGTATCGATTTCAATGAAATCTCAACAGCTCGATTACCCCCTTACAACAACCACTACGACCACAACAACTACTTCTGAAGATCCTGCAACAGAATCTATAGACCCACCTAGTGAATTATCAATCGATGATGGAAATGTTGAAACCGAACGCAAGACCAGTTTCTATATAGGAGAATCTAGCCGCAATATTATAACTAAAACAACGCCCACTAAGCTCAGTGTCAGTGAAGGGGCAGCAGATGAGCCGCTAACCGCAGTAATGTGTAGAGAACCCATTGAAGCAACAGACATATCATTGATGAAGGAGTTCTCAGTGGATTCTGACGAAGAAAACGACGTCTTCAAGGAATATGTTACAATAAAACCTACGGAACCAGAAGCGGGCACAAGAATTCGTCGTCAGAGCTCAGAGACCCGAAATGATTTGTTGGAAGAGGACGCTCTAACTAAAGAAACAATTGAATCGACAACTGTAGTTACCACAATGACAACAACAACGTCAGCTGGAGCAGTTGTCGAAGACGGAACTTTACGAAAAACAAGTACAGAACAAAGTTTTACTACAACAACTATAACATCAACTACGTCTACTAGTTCAGCACCATTGGAAGTCATTCACTCCACGGGGGAAGATGATTCAGTACGGGAGATATCTGAATCCATGGATATTGAAGTCGAAAGACCAATCGATTTGGACTTACCACTAGAAAAAAGTGAATGGGAAACTACAGAAAAAGAAATACCTCCAACAGGAACGGGAAAAATTGTGCACTCACCACAACAACCTATTCTTAGTAATTTAACAAAAGAGGCCTTAACCGAAGAAATGGTCGCAAAAACACTCGAGGAAGTTCAAGAGTCACTAGATGCTGCTAAAAATGAACTTAAATCGGTTTTAAAGGACGGTAAATCTATTAAAGAGTCGCCCTCAGAATTTGAGTTCCGTTCATTTTCCCAAACAATTGCCAGTGGTAGTTCCGAGGCAGAAAAGATTTCAGATATGGGTATTAAAACGGAAAAGATCATTGAAGAAAATGTTGAGCTAATGGAAGATGATGACATATCTTCATTTATAGGGGTTCCGGAAAATATACAGGATAAACACAATCAAGAGACAGAAAATATTATAACTAGCACAGTTATTGAGAGTTTAAATCGAGAAGCTGCTATGCTACATTATGCTCAAAATATATTTGAAGAAAAGAAACCTGAAACTTCCCTCGGTTTCGTATCCACCGGAACTGCAGAATCCCAAGATTCTCATACTTCATCAGATGATCATGTTGTTAAGGAAGAACGAGCCTCTCTTGGTTTTATTTCTAGTGAAACTGCTGAAGACTTCAGCTCAATGGAAAATTATTATCAGGAAAAATTAGCAAAAGCCGATATTGTAACCGAAGCTAAAGAAGAGAAGGAAGAAGTAATTACCTCGACTACTGCTGGTGTCGACACCTTTGGTGAAATTTCCTCTGAACTAACAATGAAACCTTTCGAGGACGTGGTACATCGTATTAAAACTGAGAGCGCAGATAATGCACAAAATCGCTGGTCAGTTCCTGAAATCGACCAATCAAGTTCAAGCGAGAGCTATTATAAGAGCTTTGAGAAAAGTGAAAGTCGTCCGCTTTCTTCAGATATTGAAAACCTAATGACTCAAGCAAATTCTTCGGAATATCAGACTGCCGCAGATGTATCGTCGGTTTATAGAGAAACTACAGAGTTTGTAAGTGCTGTTAGTACGTTCGAGAGTAGTTCAGGAAAAACCATAAGTTCCCATGAAAGCATGCGCAGTCTTGATTCACAGTCTGAGACATCCGCTAATTTGGGCAGCATAGATGTTTCAGAGTTGTCAGAAACTCTAGTAGCGTCGTCCACAGAAGAAGCTGAAGAAATTCAACGATTGCGAGATTTAGCTGATGAGGAAGATAGTGATGATAGTTTGGATTTAGAAACAATGGATTATACTGTAAGCGAAAGTAAAATACAACAGCAGTCGCAAATGAAACGATCGCAAGAAATGATTTTCAAACCAAAATCTGATGAAGTTTCTCGTAAATCCGAAGAAGAATTTGAAGATCAAGAGAAATGCATTCAAACCGTGCAAATTGAGGAATATGCAAAACCAAAGGAAATAGAAAAAACTTGGGGTCTAACATATCCTATGGAAGATACCAAACCAGATGATTTGAAAGACACCGATGACATACTTTTATATCATGGAGATATTAGACGTTCAATCGATGATTCTAAATACGCATCTAGTTTAGATGAAGGTAGCATCCTGTCTGTTAGTATGTCAAGTACTTCAAACATAGACACTGTGGTTGAAAACTTCGAAGATATTGTTGGATCTGTTGGTGCTTCTTCACTAGCTGGTATTGAAGGATTCGCAGCATCTTCTTTACCAGAAGAAACTACATTCGTAATGGAAATGGATGACGGAAGTGGAGACTTATCTCCCCAAAATTCTACTGCCACTACACCTCCTGGGGAAACACCTACAAAACGTGGCCATAAGCGTTCCGAGAGCACATCTGTATCTGGAGATGACATTAAAAGTATTCCAGACAAAGATACACCAGCACCACAAGGCGAAGGAAAAGAATCAGAGAGCGAATCGGATACAGATCCTTACGAAACGGAATATGCTCGTCAATTCCGATCACCCTCAGATCGTAAAAGTAAGAAGAAAAAGCAAGCAGCTGCCGAAATGGATCACAGCTTTGAAACAGAAAAGCGCCCTTTTACACCATCACAACTTGTAGCTGAAGTAATTGTAGAAGATAGTCTAACTGAAGAATTGGAAGCAGAGGAATGTCTTTTGGAAGAACGACGACCATCGCAAAATATGCTTAACTATTCAAATATTCCAGACATTATGGTTACAGAGGACATCCAACCTAAATCACCAATTTTAGAAGAAGACACTTTCGAAGAAAAAACTCTGTACAAAGTTAAAACTCAAGAAGAATTGCACAAAGCCACCGACGATCGACCTTTACATGAAGAAAAAGAGATGGTTATTGATTTAAAGGAAGAAAATTTCCAAAAACTAGTTCAAGAACAGTATAAACAAAAGTTGGCTGAATTACAAAAAGCCGAAATTGGTGATTCCGACTACGATTATAACAAAGCACCTGACTCTCCAGACTCATTTGAAATGGTAGACCAACCCGACATTTCGGATGAATTTGTAATTATTGAAGAGGTGGCCAAAGAAGCCAATGAAGATGATTTAGGTGGCAAAAGTATACGTATTGCCCCTACCAAATATGAATCTAAGCATGACGAAGAAGTGGAAAAAATTATAATTAAATCTGCACCAGCTGATCCAAAGCTTGGCTCGCAAATATTCCGCGATGATTTGAACTTTGAATTTGAAGAAAGTCCTCCAACTGGCAGCAGTGGAGGTGCAGGTAGTGAAGTTCAAGACGAAAGTGATTCCGGTCCAGATATGGCGGCGAACAATAAACGTTGGGTCGAAATGCAATTAACTGATAACCAACTGCGATATCCATACGACCTAACAGGTGGTGTCTTGGAGGACATAAAAGAAGAAGACGGAGAATTTGAGGTCGGAAGCAGTCGCATCAGTAGTTTTAAGGACTCATTCTCTAGCACACCCGAATATGACGTCATGGCTGCTCGACGCTATTACGCAGCAAGGGGCGAGCATGATGATATCTCAATGAGCAGTTTACAAGAGTTTGAATCATTGGAACAAGCAATTTCATTAGAAAATCGTAATCGAACCCATCAAGGATCAACCGATTCCAGCAATGGTAGTTTTCAGAGACGGTACATATTGCGCAATAGCGCAAGTGGTCCAGCTCAAGGTGACGATATATCCATATCTAGTCTCAAAGAATTTGAAGGACTTGAAAATGCTTGTATCGAAGCTCATCTTATTGAAATCAAAGCCAAGGAAGAAGCAGCAATGCTATCGCGTTCCGATGAATCTAACAAATCAAATGGTAGTGATCGCGATCAAATCTTAGACTCAACCAAAGTCGTAGTCAGTAAAGTCACACGAACAGTAACACACACTGAAGTTCTTCAGTCTGGTCAACAGCCTCCCGATATCGAAACATTACTTAAACAAAAATTGCAGGAATGTGAACGGGCTCAAAGCTCCATTCAAATAAGTGAAATATCGAAAACTAAGGCTGATTCGGATAAAGGAAGTATAGATAGTTTAGAAATGAATCGAAGTGTTGACATGGTTACAAGCAGTGTGGATGACAGTTTTGACATTTCGAAAGATGGCACTACAAAATCAGACATTGATTCCTTGGAAGTTGATAAACGTCAGCCCACACGAGAAGAAAGCATTGAATCAATTGAAATGGAACACATGGATGATGTCATGTCTAAATTCGGAGTAACATTAGGAGATGGGCTAACAACAACGACAACTACTACGACGACAAGCACGGATGCCGACGGACATGAACACACAACCGTTACAACGCGAATTATAACAAAAACCACTCTAACGGGTGGTGGCGCCAGTAGTACATCTCTTGATGCCTCGGCACCAGAGATGATGACGAAAGATTTCTCCGCCGAATCCCTTAACCAAATGAGTGCTCTTGATCAAACCACCACCAGTTCGGCGGGAACTACGGCCACATACCAGACAAGTGCTGGAAATTCGCAAATGTCTGGCAGTATAACAAGCTGTGCCTCCAGTACTCTCATGGAAGATTCTGCCATGAGTATGTCTGGCTTAACGATGTCATCAAGTTATTGGTCTCACGAAGAAGAAACAGTAAAAGAAGGCACCGATGTAAAAACGAAGGATGCTCTCAACAAAGAAGATCATCCACCCCATTAGAGAATTCTCTCATACGAAAATGATATATTTAAGTTTTTTGATACTTTGATATAACAATATTAGGTAAGATGGACTCTAATTAAAACAAAAACACTTAATTTTTAATATTTATTAATATTTTTAAAATTTCACATTTAATTTTACAAATCAGTATCACAAAGAAAACGGTTTGTTCATGGTAATAGAGCTCAATATTTGATTTGGTTTAACAGTTTAAACTACGTTTAAGAAAATTAGGAGTGAAAACAAATACACATAAGAATCTGCTAACGAAATGTTATTGTCAACCAAATTAACAAGAATCAGGGATTTTAAATGCTTAGAAAAACTACATTCAGGTTTTATTTATACATTTACAATTTATATTTATGAATAGGTTCAACCTTATGAATAGGATCCGAATATAAATTTAACTTGGTTGTGTCAAATTCCGTTCGTATGCTTTTAGAATTTTTCATAATTAGGTAATAGGAACCTTTGTCAAATATAGATTTAAAATTGTAAAATTGTAATTGATTAATCTTCTAGAACGCTGGATATACCAGACTCAGCCTATTATTAGTAATTTTATTTAACGAATTTGAGAAAAAATGACTCTTGAAGGGCAGGTATATATATTTGTAAAGGCTAATCAAACAAATTCAAAAATCTTATAATATATATGTAAACACAGGATTTATTATATATATTTTATTAAAAATGTCTTTGTTTTTATTTCAGAATTCAAAAATTAAGAAGGTCTCTACATATAAGTTGGATATTAAATAGAATCTAAGGCTTATGGGATCGTCTGCTATAGGTGTATACTATAGTACTTAATTGATGTTGCTGAAATTGGAACATTTTTTTATAACGAATATAATATTTTAATTAGTTAACTATGAATTAACTAGTTATTTAACACATTCAAACAACAAAGCATTTCAAAGTGTTGCTGTACACGACAAGATACTCACTTTTACCTAATAAGACATAAAAATAATAAATTAATTAAATATTAATTATACAAAAAAATAAAAGACACACACATTTAAATATATAATATTAAATACATATTGTAGAGATTTTATTTATTTATAATGTAAAACGCAATTTAATATTTTTTAATGTATTTGTTTTTATTTTTAAATAATTGGCTTTAAAAAAGGAAAAATTTCCATATTGATTTGCTTTAATTGTTTCTTTATTGGACTAATGTTTCCTTAGTTTTAGATTTTTTCAAAAGAATTTAATTTTATTTAAACGAATGCTAAAGTATTCACAAAAAATATTAAAAATGAAAAAACGCTGTTTAATAAGTTATTAAAAAAAACGATTAAAAAAGTATAGAAATTATAATATATGTATTAAGTATAAGTGTTTTTAACAAAATGCAATGTAACATTTTTTACGAAATCAACCATATTTTTTTTAAATTTTTTGCTTTGCTAAAACTGATTAAGAAAAAATTCATTATTGATCATACATTTTTTTGTAACTGACATGCATATTTTATGTGAATCTATTCAAATTTGATCTTATCTTAAACAAAAATTCTTTAAAGCACATTCAATTTAAATAAATAAATAATCTAAAATACATAAACATAAAGAAAATTAAAAAAAAAATAGTACGATCGATTTATAAAATATTCCATTTTTATTAGATGTATTAATTATATTCAACAATTGAGAAAATAAAAAAATAATAACAATAATAAAATACAACAAAAAAATACATATTGATAATGATAAATGATAATTAAATGTAATGCTAGCCACGCATATATTAAATTAACCAAATAAATGCTTAAATAAAAATATACAAAATAAAAATAATTTAATTATTGTTTGAATTTGATTCCAATGTTAATTGGAATGACAGAATGAGGAAAAAAATACTACAAGTTTTCTCTCATTGTAGGAAATATTGATCGTTATCGTAACATAATGGTAAAAAACAACACAATAAACTCTATCATTTTTATTTATTTTTATGTTACAGTTAAAACCTTTTGTAACGAACTCGGCTTTAACGAATTCTCGGTTATTACGTACTTCAAGTCCCGACATTTTAATTACTATTTTCATACAAAAAAATATCTTATAACGAACTCGCTCATAACGAATCCACGTACAATTTTATACAAATTTTGCCGATATATTGTTTCGTCTTATTACGAACAAATTTGAGTGGTTCCCCGGAGTTAGTTATAAACATGTTTGTATAATACATAAGTATATAGTACATATCATTTATTTACTACTGATTATTCTGCCCACTAATGTGAGTATGGGGCGGACCAATTACGGACATTTATGTCGAATTTTAGGGTCTAATAACAAGTTCACACGGACAGTTGAATTACTTAATACGGCCTCTGAATTACAATAGCCAATTAACCCGTTTCCATGATACATTCGTAATTCGTTTTGACAGTTCATCGCCATGTTCTTTATTTCATTCATTATTTCGTTATTTTTTTGGAATACATGTATGTGAATGATACAAAAATCCATTTGTTACATTATTTTAACAAATTAAGTAATATATTTTCTATTTGTATTTTTTTTTTTTGTAATTTAATTTTTTATTTGTCTACAGCAAATGAAAACAAACAGCTGATTATGATAAATACCTGATAAAAATAGAGATGGCACTCAATGATTCGTAATTCGTAGGTAATTCAAACTGAATTACGTTCAGCTTGTGTAATTCGCAGCTGAAATTTTGTATGGCGAATCATGTAATTCAGTTCGTAATTGGGGGTTGAATGAAGAATGTGAGAGTGAATGACGAATAATTGCATCGTCTATCTATATATAAAAATTAATGTGTGTTTGTTTGTATGTACAGCTGCGTTCAAAAAAATAGGAGTGAGACTTAAAAATAATTGTGCAGCTTAATTTAAAAAAGAAAGAAATCCAATATTTTTTCACGATATTTGTTTGTTAAGTGTTTAAAATACAAAACAAATGAAATTTTGTATATAGATTCATTAGTTTTTTTGGTATTCACTTTTTTCGAAATCCATATCCGTTTACAACTGTTCAAAAAAATAGGAGTACCGTATATTATCTAATCTAAGTTAGATTAATTTCCTTTATTCGTAGTAAATATTAAAAATATATTATAAAACTGTTATATTTAGATGATTTTGAGCTCAGTTCACAATTATTTCATTTAAAATCCTGAAAGAAAATATCAGAATTGCCGAAAATGAAATCTGTTCAAATATCTTGAAAATTATAAAAATATCGCGAAAAAAATATGAAAATTCTCATGGTAATTTCATTAAAAGTTTTTTTGAATACTTTAAGAAGTCAAATGTTTTAAAATCTCTCATTAAAAATAAACATTTTATTTAAAAATGATAAGAGCTTCCCATAAGCGCTTATCCTTTTTTAAAATTAATCCCATTAAGGCGTCCCGAATTAGTGAAACTAAGCCAAATTGTAGTTATTAAACATCGTGATCAATATTCAGTTAGTTCAGATCAATTTTTATACAAATCTTTTTTGAAAAAAATTAATTTCAGACCATAAATCATATAGTGAAACCCATAGAGCATATAGTGAAACCCATAAAGTAACACATTTAGAGGTGGTTTCATAAATGGATGAGTTTTTAATGCATGAATACGACAACAAATAATATTTTTAGATCTAAATAAATTCAGAAAATATATTGGAAGTCCATTAATCGAAAATATTAAGCTAAAACCAACTTTCAAGGAAGTTGTATAATAGGAATAATTCATGATGGGTCTTGACAAAAAGGGTATGGTCTAATAAATTGTAAAATGATATCGTAGATCAAATGTTGTAGGTAAACATATTACCCCAAGATATGTTCTCATATTCCCAATAAACAAATTTGATAAAATGGCGGTGTTGCCGTATGAAAACATTATTGATTCCAAATTGGTGGAAGTTCGTTCCATAGGTAGTAGGCCATTACATGGTTGTCGACTTACTGATTCTAAAGCAAAACGTTATAAAACCTTGCGTATAACATCTTTTAAGGCTTTCTGAATAAATTACTGCATATTTGTTGGTAATCGGCCACGACATGTGTCATCAAATAACGATTATAAAAACTAGAGAACAAGTTAAATAAATAAATAATAAAAAATCTAAATCTTTCACTAAAAAATTTATATTCAAAATTTTTCAATTTTTCACTCCTATTATTTTGAACGCAACTGTATGTTTGTTTGAAGTCTATAGCCGACTAAGTGGCTAAACCGATTTTCTTGAAATTTTCTCACAGGGTGTTCCTGTATGCCTCGCAGGAAAAATAGGCTACTATTTTTTAAATTTCAAGTGGACGAGGTGCCAGTCCTACTTACTAAATATGTAGCGGCACCTCACATATGTCTTTTATCTGGGAAACTAATAGAAATATATTCTTCAAATTTTTCACGAAGGACTTTCATATTCATCTGAATATTTTGGAAAAAAAGCAAACTTTTATCAGGGGGTGGGGGTGGCTTGGAACCCCCATATGTATTAAATAGAAAAATTTATATATCTGAGAAACTATTAAAGCTAGAATCTTCAAATGTTACATGAAGAACTTTGAAATTCATGTGAACATTTAGAAAAAAAAAATGGACGGACTTTCAATTGCGGATTGGCCTCTCCCATATGAATTATATACAAAATTTCGTACGTCTGGGCAGCTATTAGATTATTCAACGATTACATTAAAATCTTAATTAACGTTCGGAAAAATTGGTGCACTTGCAATAATTTGTGTAGCATCTCCTATATGTAACAAATGGCATATTTGACAACTATTGTAGTTAGAATCTTCAAAATCGTTAAGTGGGTTTTTTATTAATAATGCTTTTAGGGTAGCAAAGCACACTGGGTATAGCTAGTTGCAAATAAAATCTATACATTTTTGACACAAAAAAATAATTTAGAGAAAAACGGATGTTAATATTCAGAAATTGATCGGAGTCACTCTAACAACTAACCTACCGAGGCATCCTTACCCTATATAGTTTTGACAACGTTTTTGCTTGAAGTTACAGTCGTGTTCTGTTTCATCATTAATGGATTCCATGTAGTTCTAATAACAAATATATTTAATTTAACCAATTTATTTTCAAAACAATTAAATAAGAAGGAATAAAATAAACTACATACATATTATGGTTAACTTAATATTAAATGACACTGGTAGTTAATCATTATTTATTAACTTTAAATTTGATCTGACCATTTGGGCCATTTCTTGATTTCAGCTAAAAGAGCATCACCAGGACTAATTGTAGGCATAAGTTGACTATGGCCAAAAAGTTTATAGTTCTCCTTAAGCTTTTGCAAATTTACCAGTTTTTCCAATAGAGCTTTAGCGGCTGTTAATGCCTTTTCACTGGGCAACTCCTTGATAAAATTGCCCATAAACACAATACCAAATGAACCGACATTATAGCCCTTAACTAAAGCACCTTGATAGTTCCAGCCACGTCCTTCATATACATTTCCATCGTTTCCAATTAGATAATTATAAGCAATATCATCTATATGATATTTGGACATGTGATAATGTTGAATGATGCGCACTTGCCGGGAACATGAATCCTAATGGTATTGAATAGAAATTTATTATAATTTATTATTATTGAATACAAATTTATTATAATTTATTATTCCGTTTGGCATCCCTAACGTTTGCGTGTTAGAGATGCCAAACGAAAAATTCCGATTACCGAAAATCCCGGATTTTTTGCGATTTGATAATATTACGGACTATATATCGCGAAATGAAATCGCATGGTCTAATAGTAGTTTTTAATTTCACACACTTTCGCTTTTTAAATCATATTAATATTAAGATTTGTGACGATCTACATACTTTTGTACTACAATCATTTCCCGCTGTATGAGCAATAATTACTCGACCCACTGGTAATTCAAGAGGTGTTAATGCATTCGACGGTTCTTTGGCCTCCCATTCCTGACGTGTTACAATATTAACATCTGCCGAAATAAACGACAAAAAACTCAACAATGACACTACGACCACGATATACTTTTCAATCATTTTTATTAAAATTATTATTCGAAATATTTAAGAATTTTTAAACGAGATCTTCTCTATTCCAAAACAATATTTCTAATGAATTCTTTGCAATTATAAGTGAAATTTTTATATTAAGTTTCCGTAGATCTATTTTAACATTAGTATGAGCGAATGTGAGTAATAACGAATACATAGCAACTTGGCATACCCTACACTACAGATAAAGTTATACGTATCTTAATTACAATCTCCATTTTAGCGAAATTTTTTAGAAATTGTTTATTAAAATAAAATTTTATTTTTTGGAAGCCTATCTGTTCAAAATTTAAATGGAATGCATAATTAATAATGAAACTAAAACCATGAAATTATTAAACTTATACTTCATAGATATTATATGGTAGGTATTTCGTATTCGTTTTGATCAGATTTTATATTATTTGTTATGTTTTATAAATGTATGATCTGATAGCAAAGTGTACTTTTTTTGTTGCAAGAAAAAATACAATTTCTCGTCATCGTTTCAATGACAAATAATGATTAATAACATATACAATGTATTTATTGTACAGTAAGTAACAAAAATGTATTAGTGTTTTTAAAAAATATATTTTATGTGCTTATTTGGTGCTAAACTATCATTATTCGAAATCAAGTGGAATTAAATGAAGATGT